GCCCGCTGCAACTCACCTTCCCAAACAAGCCATTTGCTTGGCTGCTTGGCAAGGCCTCGAAGATCCTTCTTTGGTGAGCAGCGAAGCCGAGAAGCCAGTGGCGAAGGTCAAAGGAGTTTCCAAAACAGTGCAAGAAGATATGGCCCGGCTTCGCAAGACTCTCACCCCAGACTCCGACGAAGACACAGAAGAGTCCTCAGAGGATGGTGAAGGGGATCTCCCTTTTCCCAAGACCATTGGGTTGCTAGCCCCGGGTGCCAAGGGAGCAATCACTTCCAAAATGGGGGTCGAGCCGAAGCCAAAGAAGAAGGAGACGGATCCTTCCGCCGCCCTCATGACTATGATGGAGCAAGGGTTGGCTCAAGGCCAAAGTCCCGCCGACCTGATGCCTATGATGATGATGAGCTTCATGCTGAACCAGCAGACCCAGCAAGGCCGCAAGGGGCGCAAGTCGTCGGCAAAAAGCAGCGCTTCCACCGACCATGGTGGTTCCAGCTCCGAGAGCGACAGCGACAGCGATGCCATCTCTGGAAAAGGGATGAAAGCTGTGGTAACGCTCCATCGCCTGCACCGGCGGATCAAGCGTCGGCCAGGCAGCATCTGCAAGAAGTTCGAGAAGGAGATCACCACCGAGTTGGGGATTGTGCCCGGCCAGCCTTGGACTCTTCGTCAATGGCTGGCCAAACAGCCCTGGGGGAAGTTCCGTGGAATCTACAGGTGCGCAATCCAGGATGCCATTGCCTACGAATATCTACGCAACGGTCAGCACGAAGTGGCGGCTGCTCAGCTAGCTCAGAACATGAAGTCGAAGATCCAAAGTGTGCTGCAAGGTGGGGACTGGAGTGCAGCCTGGCTTCTGACAGGCATAGCCGACCCACTCACGAAGAAGGAGTGGGGAGGTACGCAGGAGGAGATGGCCGTAGTCAGCGAGTATGTCAACGCCTTGGCCAAGTTGAAGAAGAAAGTGAAAGAAGCCAAGGATGCCAGCCAGGCCGAGGAGGGAGATTAGAATCCCATCCTTCAGCATCTTCAGTCACTTTGGTTGATTTCAAGAAGTTTTTGCATGACCAGCTTAAGGGTCGCTTGGATCCCTTGATGTCTGGATGCTCCAAGAATTCAAAGTTCGTTAGTTATTACGCCTGGCTTGAAAGTGCTCATGGTGCGTTGTCCATTGTGGCGGACAGCTCAGCAGCTCCTCTTTTTCCCTGCTCTCTACCTTACCCGGAGGCGTTTTACTCTGAAGGGGCAATCAGTGGCTTTTCTTCTAGGACCACGTGGGCACGTCGCTACCTCAATGCGTTTGTGGCTTGGTGCAACTATGTGGAACTGGGTTGCCCTGATTGTAGGGAAGGAGTGTGTGAGCCGCCAGTCACCTATCAGTCTGAGGCTTTTGCTCGGAGGTTTGCTGATAGATGGCTGGGCGAGGTGGAGGAATTCGGAAGCCTTGACCTTTTGAGTGGGACTTTGGAGTTACAAGGCGGCCGGTTTGCAGTGGAACAAGCTTTTAATTCGGTGAAGTGTACAGCTGCTGGCTATTTTAGTGAGGCCGGCGCCAACCTGTCGGGAGCTTTAGAGGTGCAAGTGGATCGTGTGGCGATTCCTGAAGCGGCTGGAACAGTGAACCCTGCAAGCATTTTGCCGGCAGATCGAAAGGCTGTCTTTGAGAATCTGGAGTCGTTGCGTCGGCCTGAGCCCTTGTGGGATCCGGTGGTGCCCTCTTGTCACCGTGTTGCCCCTCAGGAGGAGATTGGGTTGATGCGGAAATTGTTGAAACACAAGATGGTTGTGTTGGTACGGGAATGTGATCTCCCCAAAGATTCTTCTGGTCGTTTGTTAAATTCGGGTTTGTTTTGCGTCCCCAAAAACGAAGTTGAAGATCGCCTGATCTTAGATCGACGCCCGCAGAATGCCACTATGAACAGATTATCGTGGGCAAAGCTGCCAGCTGGTGCTTGTTTTTCCCGGTTATTGTTGCAGCCAGACGAATACCTTCGGGGGTCGGGAGATGATTTAAGACATTTTTATTATTCTCTGGAACTCCCCTCCAATTGGATTAGGTATAACTCTGTTGGCCGTATTGTTGATCCTATTCTGGTGCGCGAATTTGGATATGATACTGCTTATCGATATAGAGCATGTTTTCGAGTCCTTGGAATGGGCGATCGGAATGCCTGTGACATCGCACAAGCGACGCATGAGGCCTTGTTGGAGAGCGCTGGTCTTCTCACTCACAGCACAAAACTTATTTATGGAGAACCTTTACCCCCAGGGCCCATATATGAGGGAGTGTATTTGGATGACCTGCTGGTGGTTCAGAAATGCAAGATCGAGGAACCAGTACCTCTTGACGGGTCTTTTGTTCCCCCACCGCTCAGCTCCGATGACCAGGATCAGCGGCGTGTGCACCAAGCTGAAAAGGCTTATGCTGAGGTGGGACTCCCGAGAGCTGTGCACAAAGCATTCCGAGGTGAAACTGAATTCAAAGCATGGGGGGCTGAAATACATGGTATCCGTGGGACGGCTGGTGCCCCCCTTTTGTTTCGACAGCAGGTTTGGTTGCTTCTTTGTCGGGTTGTCAAATTGGAGTTTTGCACCAAACATATTTTACAGAAGCTGTTGGGGTACCTTTGTTTTGCTTTCCAGTATCGGCGTGAGCTCTATTCTTTGCAGCATCATATTTACAAATTTTTGCAGAAGATGCCCAACTCTGGTTGGCGATCTTTGCCAGGTTTTATAGTGGATGAACTGCGATCGATGGGACTTCACTTAGCCTTTGCGTTTTGGGACATGAGACATCAAATTTCCCCTTCAATATTGAGTACCGATGCCACGCCCACGTCAGGTGGAGCTGCCCGGACCGAAGTGTCCGACCCTTTGGCCGCTGAACTTTGGCGGCGGAGTGAAGTACGTGGGTCAGCTGTGCGTCTGGATGAAAGTGACCTTCACCGCATGTTGAGTGAGTGGGAAGCTCCTTCAGAACCTTCTGCATGGGCTAGTGTATTGGGTAGAACACTTCATTGGAGGCCAACTAGTTCTTACACTTTCCGGCAAACCAGTCATATCAACTTGCAGGAAGCACGTGCAGTGAAAAACGAGGTTAAGAAATTAGCCCTGGAGGAGGAGTCCTGGGGAAAGATCCAGGTGAGCCTGAACGACTCTCGTGTGGTGTGCGGTGCCTTCACAAAAGGGCGTTCAAGTTCTTTCAAGCTCAACGGAATTTTGAGAAGCATGGTGCCATATTTGGTCTTTGCGCATTTGGTATTATCGTTTATTTGGGTGGAGACGGGTGCCAACCCAGCGGATTATCCCAGCAGATTCAATCCTATTCCGCCGCCCCTGCCTTGTCCTATGTGGCTGAGAAGCTTTGGGATGGGTATTCGTAGGAATATTGGTTGGGAACTTTTTGCAGTCTCAGCGAGGTTAACTTCGGCCCATATACAAGCTGGTATACATATGTTGGACCCAGTGGATATTATATATGGTTCTGATGTGCTGTCGCCCAATATTGATGATACTATACTGATGCGATTGCTTCTTTGGCTATGGATGGCTCCTCCCGGTGGTAGTTTTTCTCCTTTGCGGAATTTGGATCGTGGTGGCCCCCTGCGACCTAGAGGCAACCCCCAAGGTGATGAAAGTAACTGGGAAATAGCTCGGGGGAACCAACTTTGGAGGCGAGCTTTGGAATTGGCTCATACTTGTCTATCATTGGGTATTTTCTTCTTCATTGAACATCCTCGGGGAAGCAAAGCATGGCAACTTCCTGAAACCCGTCGTTTGATGAATCGTCCCGGGGTCTTCTTGGCGGAAGTTCACTGGTGTATGTATGATGAGAACCGCGTAGGTGACCCCAACAAGAAACCTACTCGTGTTTTGACTTCTGCTCCTTGGTTCAAGAGCTTGGTTCGGGTGTGCGACCGTAGTCACCATCATGGTCCCCCTTTAAGAGGGAAGAGGGCAAAGTTGGCGGGAGCATATCCCTGGGGCTTTTGTCGGTTGCTGGCACAGGCTTGTAGTGAGTGGCAAGGATGGTGAGGTTACGCAATGCAGGTTTATCAAGAGAGTATCGTCGAAATCGTCGCGATGCTGGAATATGGTTGCTTAACTTTGTGGCTAGTTTGGGACAAAGACTACACGCAAAGATGCCTTCTTACAAGATTGACTCTTGGTTGGAATTGGGTGTTCAACGTGCTTTTGACGAAGGTGTGAAGCTATACTATGTGATTCTGGGTGTCTTGTCTCTACAACAAAAACTTCATCTCTCTTCGCCCTTGTTGCGGAATACATGGCTGGCCATTAAGGGATGGCGATCGGCTCTGCCTTCCAAGACTCGGGTTCCTATCACTAGCTTTCGACTGGAGTGTGTGGTGATCACAGCATTGGGCAGGTGTGTTTCTACCAGTGGTCTCAGCAAGCGACAGTGGTTAGTGGTAGCTTTGGGGTGGTGGTTGTGTTTTGCATGTTTATTGCGGCCTGGTGAAGTCCTCAATTTGAGACGGCAGGACATTAACCTTCCTGAGTGTGATGCCGATCTGGAAGATGCAGATGCTGTGGTTATTATTAGGCGGCCGAAGACTAGGCGAATCTGGAGAGAGCAGTTTGTCCTGTGTAGTGACAAGAGACTAGTCCGATGGTTGTTTTGGTGGTTGGATGAGATGGCTAGTAGTCAGCTGGTGCTAGGTGTTTCTCGCTATATTTTTGCAAGCAGATTCTCTGACGCCTTATCCCGGATGGGGTTGGAGGATTGCAAGTATACTCTGGGTTCACTTCGCGCGGGTGGTGCAACTCACCATTTCCAACAGCATCGCAACCTAGGCGAGTTACAGTTTTTAGGACGTTGGACAGCAGCGTCAACCTTGCAGCATTATTTGATGGAAGCATTTTCTGCGCACGTGACTTTGCAGGCCAAGGCCAATGTGAGGAGTCAGCTTTCTTTTGTCCATGAACATATCAGCGTTTTGGATCATCCTCCAAAAATTCGGGCTCGAGACTTTTTGAAAACCAGTGGCAGGTGAAATTTGCAGTGCCAGAATTAGAGGCATTGCCTTATTTTACTGAATCTCATCAAAAGTCATGGGCAAAGCCGGAGGAAACCTTCCACGGAGGCCAATTAGCCGGCTCAGGAGCCGGGCTGCAGAAAGTGGAGAGCCACCTTCAAGTCACAAAGCTCTGGCCCCTGAAGCGGCTGAACCTTCCCATGCCCTGACGCGAGCTGCAGCTGAAGACTGTACCACTCTGGCGCATGCCGCTGTTCGTGCTGTAACACAAGCTGCAGAAGCATGCGAAGGCATGGAGGTGGAACCGGGTATTAGTATGAACGAAGCTCTTTTGGACCCAGTGCATCGCGCGCAAGCAGCGCGATGGAGAAGTGGTCCTGAACACCGAAAAGTAGCGGCCATTTTGGCCAGGATGATGCAAGCTCTTCATGGGATTCGGCCTGCTTGGATCTCCAGCCCTGGAAGTCAGAACCCACCGGTTGCTGAGCCCTTACCGGTGCGGCGTGCTACCACTGCTGGTTCCCATGGCTCACTCCCAGCTGGAGTCCAGTGGTGCCTCCAGAAGATTCGTGCGTTTTCTTATGGATGGAAGACTTGGTGCCTGATAATGCTGCTCGTCATATTGCCCAAAGTTTTGGCTTCACTGCTAACGCTGATGGTTCGTCTTTGTGTCAGAGCTGGATTCGCTCTTGTAGCTCGCCTGATGAATGAAGTTGGTCGCGAAATGCATGGCTTGGTCCTACATATGACTCAAGCCTCTAACATGCTTGAGGAATGGGTGCTTCTCACCTTGGAGGGCTTGATTTCTGCTCCTGCACCCCAACAAGTACCAGTGCCTATGTCCTCTTCTTCTTCACCTACCTCTTCATTTCAAGTTCAAGGCGAGGGGGCCTGTGGGACATGCCCCCCTCCCTGCCCCCCCTGGAATTTCCTTACTGTTGCGTTAGTGGTTGTGGATATCGCGCTGCATCGCCGGCACCGGGGTGGGGCGGGTTGAAAGATCCAGCTGGATGGATGGATGATTTAATTTGAGATCGTTTCAAAGTGACCTGATGATCCCTATTTGCAACTGTCCAATGATCGTTTCAAAGTGCCGATCTGTACTGGATGGATTTAATTTGAGATCGTTTCAAAATGGTCTGACGATCCCTGTTTGCAACTGTCCAATGATCGTTTCGAAGTGCCGATCCTTTTTGCAAGTATCCAATGAACTTAGAGAACCAGCGATTAGCACAGCCTTGGCGAAAAGAATAGCTGGAGCGCTGCCCAAAGTCAAGGTGATGAATGCAGAGTTTGAATGGCACAGAGTTTCAAACACCAATGTTGAGCAAATGAGCATGCCGGTTGAGCGTGGGAATGAATCACAATGCCTTTGACTTGCCTGCTCAAGTTGACCTCCTCCGCCCCAGCCACCTCCTGGGTTGAGAGATCCAGCTGGATGGATGGATGATATAATTTGAGATCGTTTCAAAGTGACCTGATGATCCCTATTTGCAACTGTCCAATGATCGTTTCAAAGTGCCGATCTGTACTGGATGGATTTAATTTGAGATCGTTTCAAAATGCTCTGACGATCCCTGTTTGCAACTGTCCAATGATCGTTTCGAAGTGCCGATCCTTTTTGCAAGTATCCAATGAACTTAGAGAACCAGCGATTAGCACAGCCTTGGCGAAAAGAATAGCTGGAGCGCTGCCCAAAGTCAAGGTGATGAATGCAGAGTTTGAATTTAATGTCCATTGAAAAAGAACATTTCCCAGCCAGCTAGGGGGTGTGATTCAACTGTTGGCCGATTTGTCATCCTGCGCTGGTGATGATCAGATAACCACAACATGGCCGCACCAGCTCGGGTGAGCAAAGGGGGCTATAACATTTGAGATTTCAAAGTATGCATATCTATATATATATATGCACATATTATAATACTAATAAGTATAGGAGTTAAGAAGTTTAGGACTATCATCATCCATGATAATTATACAGGAATCTCATTCTTAAACAAGCATTGCTTTTTTATATGATGACATCATTGGTGGTTGTTGTTGTGGTTGTTGAAAGCCATTGATTTGCTGCCGTCAACCAGGTGGTGTGGACCCTGACGTTGATGCTGGCCATCAACCATATCATCGCTTGCTGTTGGTATGGCGTAGCAACCCTCACGGAGGATGGCTCCACCTGGCTGGCACAGGTGGATACCGGCAGGGTCAACGTCTACGAGCCATGACTGGGGTCAGTACTTGTGGGTTCATAATGGCTAGTGCTCAGTAGCTATGGGTTAACAATGGATCTATATCATGAGAATAAGTTGGATATATAACTATATAGCTTGATATGATATGACTATAGGGGATTAACAGTCCCGAAGGTTGTTCATACATGTTAATACAGTGAGTGCCAGTTTCACTGCAAATTCATCAAACTAATCCGGAGTTGACATTAGTAGCCCAATTGATGAAGATGTGGGCATTTTAAGCCACCAGATCTTAGGGGAAAAAAAGATATTGGGCATCTACGCAAAAATGGGATGACATCTGCGGAGATCTTCGGGCGCTAGATGAACATCCTGATGTTGGGTTGATGCCCAGAGATGGAGCCAGCCATGCCCATTGCAAAAACACCATCGACACATACTGACACCATCTCCAGGAGAAATAGAGATTCAGATAGATTCAGTAAATCACCATGAGATTTATGCATTGCTTGTTTCATCTTGTTTCAAATCCAGGGGAATCAGTTTGATCATTCATGTATTGCCTCAAATGATGTTGAGGGGTCCATGAAAAAATGACCGCAGCAATCCGCAGCAATCCGCAGGTTTCAGGGTAGTGGAATACTAGTTCTACCAGCCTGGCTATACCTAATAGATATTCAATAGATACTTCCATGCATTGTGATGATGCTCTCTATAATCACATATTCCTATGATAAAGACCTATCCTCTTTTAATTTTGCATGGTAGAAAAGCTTTCAGATGATGCAACCTTCAGAACATACAACCGCCGTTGGGGGATGAAACAGAAACATTTTCCAAATGGTGGGGGGAACACTCGGATACCATGTTTGTCAAGGTTAACATTCATCATCCATCATCCATCTGGAGGATCCAAAAGGGAGCACCAGAGCACCGGCACCCGAGGATCTCTATGTAGCATCACTTCACTGGTCCCTGACCGCTGCGCCGGGAATCGGGAAATCCTGCAAACCTAGAAATCATCAATCACAATTTACAGATATTTGTTGGCATATGTTGGCATAAGATTTAATCCCAGGACTATAGTACTATAGGTAAATTGACCAAATTATGAGTGCTCCAATTGGCCAGGATTGATTAATACCACGAGTTTTCTGGAACCCGAAGCTTCAAAGACAACACATGTTTAACCAATGGTTGTGTCAAGTCGTTTTCGAAAACCAATGGTCATTCCAGCCATAGCAGCACCCAAAAGCGTACCATAAAAGTCCCTTGGTGGCTATTCTCCCCGTGTTTGATGATGATGATGATGATGATGGTGATGATGATGATGATGAGGAAATATCCTCAAACATTTTTTCAACAATGATAACCATCATCATCACCATGATTGTTGCAGTTTTGGCAGGACTCAATTCACACCTTCGACCAACAACATCGCACCAGCCAATGGTCTTGAGCGCAGCTTCGCAGTCTTCGTGATTTTGTTGGCCATGGGCTTCTTTTCCTCGTCCCTTGGTGGGGTTGTTTGGGGCATTGTGTTTGATCAATGGACATGGATTGGTCACCATTATCACTAAATCCTGATTTCTACCATCGATTGGTAGGCTTTCCTGCTTTCCTGTAACGTCCTGTAACATTTTCCCATAAAGCAATCCTTACTTGTATTTCCTTTTTGCATGCATGCTGCATGCATACGAACACAGACAGACAGGCAGGCAGGCAGACAGCCACCCAGGCAGGCAGACAGACAGGCAGGCAGGCAGACATACATACTTACAAACACATTGATACGAACAGTTTCTGGTGATGATGGTGAGGGCGCAAAGATTTGCATGGCCACTTGCTGACCCTGAAACCCGAAGGGGGAAGAGTTGGTAGATTCAAGCTTTCGTGTAATTGCTTCATGATTTGCAAACAATTTTGTTTGATGGCCTTTGCAAAAGTGATCTCATCAGATGCATTAAAAATATGATGATTAAATAATCGTAAAACTAATATCTGTTCCCATCACAGTGATGAAGACAAAGAATCATCAAATGTCATCAAACTCATCCTTATCGAATATCATCAAAGGTCACGAAAGATCCTACCCAATATCCATAGTATTAGCATGAATAACAGTGCCCTGCGGTATTTTAACATAGCTATGATAATGGATCGTTTGAAGATGATGTATCTACAGTACATATTTAATTACCTATAAACAATGTAGTTTATCCGAGGGTTCATTCCATTATATCCCCATTCCTGCATTAATATCCCATGAATATCCCACCGTCCCATGATTTGTCTATTAACAATATCCCATGAACGTGATTTTACCAGAGGCTAATCATCATCATCGTCGTCGTCGTCATCATCATCATCATCATCGCCAGTTAATAACATTACCCTCGGGTAAACTAACATAGCTATTGAAAATGGCCCAGTCGAAATAGTTGATTTACCCAGCTATAAGATGGTGATTGTCCATGGTTATGGGACAGTTTACCGAAGGGTAAAACCCATGATCATCCCATTATTCACCAATCATTGTGAACAATTAAATCACCATTTATAGTGGTTAAATCATGTTAAATCACCATTTTCCCATGGTAAACCAGAGGGTCATCAGCTTTCCTTATCGGCCAAACCATGGCGTAGGTTCGTGGGTTCCATCACCTCCACGGTGAACTCGTTGCGGCACATCCAGGCAGCCAAGGTCAAACAGCAGGAGGGTCGCCCTTGGGGCTATGGTGATCTATGGTGATTTTTGATGTGTATATGGCAGTGTGTCAAAACCTTGTACCCCTGTAGTTCACATCAAAATAGCTGGTAAATGGATGTTCATCCCACTAAAAATGGTATTAATAGGTATTGATCCATACCCATATATATTTGTATGTCCATATCTATGGTCATGTTTGATGATATAAGATACGATAAAATTGTATTTGTTTTTAATACATACATATGTGTATATATATATATATATATTTAGATGCAGATTATCTCTATATATATATACATATGTGTGTGTGATGGTGCTGTATGTGATTGTATCTATGTTTAAGTGTTTTTGATTTTTGTGATGAAGATAGATGATGCTATGCGATTGTTAGTGTTTGATGATGCTGATAATTGATGATGAGGGTGATGATTATGCTGATGATGATGATGATGGTGGTGGTGGTGGTGATGGTGATGTATGGTGTTGTAAAATGATATGTCGCAGCTGGTGTTGTTTTTAGCACAAACCCGTTTTCCCAAGGAAATGCAATTTCCTTCAGTTCATACTCAGTACAGTAATAAGTGGCACAAGAAATGCAGTACTGCCGACGTGCCAACGACAATTCAACTGCAAATCACATGTGAAGAATAGAGAGCATCCGTTTTGCCGCGGACTCACCCGGTGGTTTGGGGGCGCCTTCGCGAACCGAAAGGACACCCTGCTGCAGTTCTTCGTAGAGTGGCCTGGCAGAGCGACATGGTGGATGCCGAAACCATCCAACTTTGGATTGTCAAACGATGTCATCCAATCATGCATCTATCCAACTTTGGATGCGTTTGGATGATGTGGGTAATGCATGATAATGTGAAATAGATGATGTAGCATCATGGAGTAGATAGTCAGATAGTCCTCCGCGGAGGCCGTGTCTGAAAAATACTGTGCATTTTCAACTTGCAAATATTCCCATGATTTTGTAGCATACATACTTAGAGTTAGATGATTCAGATTCTAGATGAATATTCGCACTATTGGAGACGGTCCAATCTGAAATTTCATTTGCTAAAGATAGAGATATACATCGGCATGCATGTTGCAAAAAAAACATCAACATTTCCAGGATTCCCCCCAAAATATGTCCCTTAGGTGATTTCTACTGCCTGAAAAGTGAAAACTTCGATCGGTAATTGGCCAATGGTGCTGGATACCTGGTGTAGGGATTAGTTGTGTCTGGAGATGAAAAAGGTAATGTTCCGCAGTCATCCCGGGAGCTCCATCACTCAAGTCCAGTATGTTTTCAGCCACTCGATGGAAAAGGCGCTCTTCAACCTGCAAAACCAAGACTTCAACTCACCCAAAGAGACTCATTTCACGTGTTTAATGGATTTTAATGGTTCCTTCTTGGTCTGGGGATTGCGAAGTTGCAACATGTTGAAACTACACATCCAATGACAATGCCCGACAATGCCCAGGCGGAACATGTCCTTGGATCTGTACAGCAAGGTCGGTTTCTTGGGCGCCCCTTGCTTCCGCCTGGAAGTGAACTTCGGGTAAATGGAGCAACATAGAGCCTCATGGAGCAACATGGAGCATCATGGCTTCACGATTTTTATGTTTGTAAATTATCCCAGAAAAGTGAACCAAGGCTTCTCTAAAACGGGCAATCTAAGCTGGCAATGGAAGTAACAGAAGCTGGCAGTCCAATTTCTGCGACTTTGCAGGTGCAGGAAGTCATCAAAACGGAAAACTTGGCAGAGGTCAGGCTACATGCAACTTGGCCAAAACTGCCTTCTATATGCAGCTGGCAAAGCCACTGAGGGTCACCATGTATGCCACAACCCCCAGGTTGTCCATTTTTCAATATTTTTCAATATCCATTGAAAAAGTTCAGCAGCGCAATGAGATCCTACTGTGCCTCCATTCGTTCTGAGCCACCCTTCGAACTGGGCGAGTTGACACTGGTCGGTGGCCACTAGCCGACTCGCCAGAAAGTAGGATGGTCATGTAAGCCATCAAGTGCTCCTGCACCCGCACTCTGGAATAAGCACAACAGAAAGCCAGTCATGGAACCAGTGCCCCCGGAACTTGTCTCTCTCAGGAGACGGAGGTGGCTTTAGTGAACAGCTTGCCTGAACGATTTCGCATGCAGCTCCATGAGGATGATGGGCGTTACTGGAAGCGTAGCTTCCAGGGGGATAGGTCAACACATTTGATCCAAAAATTAAACTAACTTGGGGATCAACACGTTGATCTACAGCAAAACTAGCTTGAGATCAAGACTGATCAAGATCTCTGGAAGAATCTCAAGCTGAACAAGCATTGGGATCTCTCCAGAATAGCTCTACAGGAATTTCCGTCAATGTAATTAATATAATTGATCATAACGGAATTGATAGACTCACTCTTGAATATGGCCATGACGCAGCTTAGGATGTTGTTAATGACGCAGTGAAAAATCCTGCGTTTCGTTTCAGGAGATGTACATGAACTCCTTGCTGAAGCTGGAGTGCTGGCCACACAACTGCAGCCATGCGGCCAGTGGCTAAAATTCATCATTGTTGTGGCTCAAGTCCATAGCATTGGCGTAGGCAGTTGCATACCTACAATATCCAATAATCACACATAACAATATTAGCAATGCAATACAATGCAAAACCATCATTTTGAAGTACTATAATAACTGGAGGGCAGCTTTCCATCGTCAGATTAGATTGCTGCAGAAGGATATCAACTTATTTTTGGAGGGGCTACAAGGCTACACCCCTTGAATTTTAATGACGCCCAACAACGGCCTCATCCGGTAGTGAAATCATCCAACCCCATTGTTTGGTTTCATGTTTGGGGTTGGTTGGTTTGTTGGAAGACCACTGAGGCCTAGAGATATGGCTAAAGACGTGCTGATTGAGACCGACAATGAGGCTTTCTTGCGACAGATTTGTCATCATGCCATGTTTCTTGGTAGAACCCATTGGAATAAAATATAAGGATGGGTCAAAACCATGTTTTATGTGTAGAGATGCCGGAGATGCCGGTGATGCCGTATTTTGGATGACATGGGATGACCATGAGCAACCACATGCTGATGTGAGCAGGGCACCAGGGCTTTCATCCATAGCCATACTGGTAGCATATTAAAAAAAAATATGTGTTTTCCGAGTCGAGAGCTGTAAAAAAATGGAGTTCGAATAATTTGCTATATATTTGAATCATGAATATATATATGTGTGTGTGTGTGCGTGTGTTCAATTCATTGAATTCAGAAAGGTGCTAAAGGAATTTCACGGAGGCAGGACTGGGGCAAGTCCAATTGAGGGACTGTATTTTTTTTTGATTTTAGCAGATTGCCTTTTGTTTTCTGAGTGTTGGGAAAACTATGTGAGAGGATGCTTGCAAAACAAATCTTTGCACGAGTTGGTTCGTTGAGATTTGTTCGCAATGCTAAAGCCACTCGCGACAAACTTTTTGCCGTACCGTGCAATATGGTGTGTTTCTTTTTGTTTCTCTATATGCGTGGACTTGTACTTCTCTATCTAGAGTGAGAGTGGGGGTGAGTGAGAGTGAGAGAGTGAGAGAGTGAGAGAGTGAGAGAGAATGAGAGAGTGAGAGAGTGAGAGAGTGTGAGAGAGTGAGAGAGTGAGAGAGTGAGAGAGTGAGAGAGTGAGAGAGTGAGAGAGTGAGAGAGTGAGAGAGTGAGAGAGTGAGAGAGTGAGAGACTGAGAGAGTGAGAGAGTAAGAGAGTGAGAGAGTGAGAGAGTGAGAGAGTAAGTGAGTGAGTGAGTGAGTGAGTGAATGAGCGAGTGCCCCTTGCCAATGCACGTTGTGCCACGCCTGCCTCGCAAAAGCGGCGGAGACCGGACGCCAGGGCGTACATCCGACCCCTTGGCAATGCACGTTGTGCCACGCATACCACGCAAAAGTGGCGGAGACCAAATGGCACCAGAGGGACGCCAGAGGGACGCCAGGGCGTACATCCGACCCCTTGCCAATGCACGTTGTGCCACGCCTGCCACGCAAAGCGGCGGAGACCCAATGGCACCAGAGGGACGCCAGAGCTCTGGCGTACATCCGACCCCTTGCCAATGCACGTTGTGCCACGCCTACCACGCAAAGCGGCGGAGACCCAATGGCACCAGAGGGACGCCAGAGCTCTGGCGTACATCCGACCCCTTGGCAATGCACGTTGTGCCACGCCTGCCACGCAAAGCGGCGGAGACCAAATGGCACCAGAGGGACGCCAGAGGGACGCCAGGGCGTACATCCGACCCCTTGCCAATGCTCGTTGTGCCACGCCTGCCACGCAAAGCGGCGGAGACCCAATGACACCAGAGGGACGCCAGAGCTCTGGCGTACATCCGACCCCTTGCCAATGCACGTTGTGCCACGCTGTGAGTGAGTGAGTGGAGTGGAGTGGAGTGGAGTGGAGTGAAGTGAAGTGAAGTGAAGTGAAGTGAAATGAAGTGAAATGAAGTGAAGTGAAATAAAGTGAAATGAAGTGAAGTGAAGTGAAATGAAGTGAAATGAAGTGAAATGAAGTGAAATGAAGTGAAATGAAGTGAAATGAAGTGAAATGAAGTGAAGTGAAGTGAAGTGAAATGAAGTGAAGTGAAGTGAGATGAAGTGAAGTGAAGTGAAATGAAGTGAAGTGAAATGAAGTGAAGTGAAATGAAGTGAAGTGAAATGAAGTCAAGTGAAGTGAAGTGAAATGAAGTGAAGTGAAATGAAGTGAAGTGAAGTGAGTGAAGGGGCACAAAATCTCCGACGCCCGCGTCATTGGTGAATTTCCTGGGGTGTGCTACTCAACAAACATGAGAAAATCGTTAAACCATGTTGTCCGTTTGAAAAAATGCAATCAGTTCCTCATACAATCGTTGAAATGGTTGGTTTCCTCCATCTCTGTTTCAAACCGAGTTTACGCCAGTGCGCTGAAGCGAGTGCTCAGAGAAGGAATATTGCAGACTCCAAGATGCAGCTCTCCCATCACTCTCACTCTCGCTCTCACTCTCAATCTCACTCTCACTCTCACTCTCACTCTCACACTCACTCACTCACTTTCACTCACTCGCTCGCTCACTCACTCACTCACTCACTCACACTCACTCATTCACTCACTCCCTCTCACTCCCTCTCACTCACTCTCACTCACTCTCCACTCACTCACTCACGCACGCACGCACGCACTCACTCACTCACTCACTCTTTCCCTCTCACTCACTCACCTGTACATGCACATACATACCCACACACACAAACTCACTCACCATCACCCCTCCATCACTCTCATACTTCCTCTTCCCTTCTTGCTTTCTATGCTCAGTCTAAGTCTAGAGAAGTTGGTAACATGTGGAGTTATCCGGTCCTACAATTGTTTTGTTTGTTTTTTGTTCTGCTGGTTGGTTTCCTTGTTGCACCACTCTCTGCCCGCCCAAGGTCGGAGAGCGTTCTGAAGCGAGGGGAGGATCTCTTCTTGCCTTTGAAGGATTGCGATCATGTCTACTTCGTTGAGCAGGGATACGGATTGAAATATGCCACTTGGAACCACTTGATCCACTTGTCCGTTGTTTGTTGGCAGTCGGTATTTCGTTTGAAGCTGCCAGCTACGGCAGTTAGGGTGGGGACAGCGACGCAAGATAACCATGTACACCCTGTTGTCCTGGAGTTACATCACACTGTGGATGTACAATGTTTTGCTATCCGATCCCAAGCTGTGCCTTTAAGTAATATATTACATGATGTGTATAATTATGTATATGTTTTTTACTAAAGGTATAAGATGGTATGTTAATATATAATATACAGATATGTATCCGGCGTATACGCGCATATATATAATATACATATATACATATATACATATATACATATATACATATATACATATATACAATATACATATTTATAATATACATATATAAATGATATAAATACATACATACATATATAAATATATATATGATATTTACGTATATATATATATATACGTATCCCTTTTGACATTTCCACTGCAGACATGGTGGAGGCAGGTCCCATACAAACTGGTTTTGCAGGGGCAGTTTTATAAGATTTTTGCGTTGGTGGCTGCGTTTGCACCATTTTATAACAACAGAAAATTCGATCATGTTGTAAAGGTTTATTGACATATCACAATATGGAATTCTTTAATGCAAGACCATTTTGTAAGAAAAACATGCGAATATGATATATAGTTGTGCAACGCAGTACTAGGTGGCTAGCCATTTGGCCTGTGGCCTTCCACCAATGACCAATCTGCCAGAGTATTTTTTGACAATTCTCGAATATATTGGATGATTGATGTATGTATTAATCACTGTCATTGCGGACACTGTTAGTGTCCGCAATTGTGCATCTTTATATATGTATATATAGTATACAGTATAAGTATTTATATTTATATATATATATTGATATGCATATATATATATATATATGTCCGTGGATGCTTGGGTATGATTGGTGTTTGTTGGTGTACACAATGGTTGGGCACCAACTAGGCATTACAAAATGGTTGGGTATGAAATGGTGATGGTATAACTTGGTATATTGACAAGTGTTCTAAAACATGTTTGCATGGAGGCCCCCCAACCATCCCAAGCTTTAGCCATACCCCGGCATTTCACACACCTCACACATAACATTCATCTGAGCCCATGTATGCTTTTCAAGTGGAGATGACCTCGCCATTTTGTACAATTTTGTAAGGATATGTGCATGGAACCCCTCTCAAAATCATGTGTGCTGGACCATTGGGATGATGCTAACCCATACAAATCCACTCCAGCAAACTACCAACAAGATCGAACACTTTCATCCCCACATGCGCACCCGTCTCTATGGACATTTCTACTAGGTAGTACAAGCCATGTACAAGATCAGGGGGTACAGAAAAAGGTCCTTCTGCAACTTTGGGTTATTAAGGCCAATTGTGGCCCTACAAAACGGTTTCTTGATATCCATTGTTTCGAGCAAGCGGCTATTGAAAATCAATTATTTTGTCTTAACACTGGTTCTACGAAATGGCTCTTATTTAGAGGTTTTTGCTGACCCCATTTACCTTTCCATTTTGTAGCCTATTATCTTCCCCATGCCAGGCGAGTTTGTAGGCCAAACGTAGGGCATACCAAACTGTACCTTCAAACATGGGGGGTTCCTGATCCTATGGGTCTAATTTTGGATGTACAGATATACAGTACTTGCATTGTAACAATTATAAAGATATTGAGCATTGGGTAACGAGTAAAAATATGTAATAATATCATTATGTGTTGAATATTTATTCACTCACATACGTGAGATATACACAGTCTGATTGAGTGATTTATTTGCTTCTTTTTTCAATACACAGCAATTCTGAAGGGGCAGATGTCTCCAACATCTCACAAGCTGAGGCATCGCATGGTTACTCAACGGTTGTGATGCCGGGTGACAGTGAACCAGCTGCAGATCTTCCCCCAGCTGGGATTTTCCAGTCAGCATGTTTTTCCCCTATGGCATTCCCATATTGTGAGATTTGTTTCAGCCTTGTATCCTTTGCAAGGCTGAACAGGCTGAGCGGAGAATCCGTATGGATTTGAGGTAGGGCAATTTCACCATCATCAAATCGAGTTGGTGCAGTGCATAGTCCATAGTGACAGTAGGACAGCTCTCGAAGGCTGTGCCTTGAAACGATGGGGTTTGAACCACCAAAAGTGGAATGTTTGCAAACTGTCCTGCCATTTTTTATTGAGGTCTCTCCTGGAGATCCAACTGATCCAACTTCATGACAGACAATTTATTTTTAAACAATTTTTAACATTGGTATGTCACAGATGCTTGTTAGAGTTATGGCCATTTATTAGTTACAACTGGTTATTTCTATGGGATTATACATTCTATTTCCATGGGATTTTCTTAGTACTTATAACTGGTATAACTCGGTCCATAACTGCCATAACTGTAGATATTCTTAGCATCTGTCCATTGCCAGCAGATCAGCTGAGGTCTCTGTCTCCCAGCGATTTGGGCTGAATGGCACTACTGCGGTCGCTGCACGGCGGAGTTCGGCGCAGGCACGACCGAGCCCTGCGACCGAGCCCTGGAATCATGGTTAGTGAGGGAAATCATCCCCTTTTATGGCCGAACTATTCAGGTTAGTGAAATATTATAATTTATATACCCAGATATATGATATAACATGATAATATGACAGGCAGATAGATATATAGATTTGATTAGATTTCTAGAAACAAAATTATATCTAAATATACACATATTTAATATGTTTTTTGTGTTTGCATATGCATATTTCTAGATGGTTGCAACGAACCTGCTACTGGTAGCATTTACATCTTGATGTCAACATATTGTTGGAAGTAGGATCTTCAATCCGGTGGCTTCCCCATTTGGCTGTCAACTGAAGATCGCAGCAAACTGACTTTCACAGATTGTCTTGGAGTCTTTGCAGCTTGGATTTGGTGACCACCAATGGCCTCCCAAAAGGAAGAATCCCTCGCAGGATATGTCACTCGAGTGAATGGAGAGACCTTTGCAAATCTGGCGATGAAGTTTTCAGGAGAAGTCGCTCGCTATTTGCCCCTTGGCCTTTGGTGCGCCTGATGAAGCGGAAACAGCTGGGAATAAAACTTGGCAATATGATCAGTGGCAAAGGGCTTACTGACTGAACAAAATCCGTAGGGTGTAGAGTCAAAGACTTTTGGCAGCTATCCTGCGCAAGCTGCTTGTGCACAGATGCTAAAATAGATCCACCCTTGGGGTTCGCAGAGATTTCAAACAGTTTCAATTACGTTGATGGATCAATTATTGGGTTGGGTGGGGTGAGTGCGGGGTGAGGGCGAGGTGGGCCAGAAATTGATAAAACTTTTGCCTGCGTCCATAGTCTTGCAGCTTTCCGCAATTCGTGCTGCCGCGAGACCAGGGAATTCGTTCATCCAAGATATTGCCATTCCAACAATGTGACCTCCCTATCCTGTCACACCACCTTTTCCTAGTTTGACATGCCACGGCCCTTTGTCTAGTGTCTCAGCACAGATGCAATGAATATGTTGTTCGTCTCTGGGTGAAAGCCGACATTTTGGCACACGGAGGGTTTGAGAGCGCTTTTGCGTCAGAAATTCAGATCCTGGTCTAAGTGCTTTTAGATGGCTGAAACATGTCTTTCGTACTATCATTTTCAACGTTTCGACCTCCTAATCCACATGCATGAAACCGCTGCGGACAACATCCGACTGAAAACAAGTCTCAAAATCTCGCTAAGGTGCGTGGTAAACCCTGCAGGATGTTTACACTATTGTGCTTGTGGTTTCAAAGATGTTTCACCTACAATTGTCCCTAGCCCTAATTTTCATGAGGGTTGAAACATGTTGAAAACATCATCCATTGCCAATGAATGCAGCCCAATTTGTGCTGCGTCTTTGGAATCCTGGGGTGTCAAATCATTCCCTTCATCCAAGTGCCCCGATTCTCGAGAGATTTCGAGAGATGCTTCGAGAGATGCCAAATACAAAGAAGCAACATACCAACAAACCAACCATTGGGAAGACATCAGGAATCATCAGCAGTTTATATCCTTAAGAAAACATGCCTCGAGGCAAATCTTTGGAATTCTTCTGATTGGCGCTCTTGCACCTTGGCCTTCGGCTGTTGTGGATAGCTGCGTCGCTGCCCATATGTAATCTTGTGTGGGGTTCTTTGGAGAAGCCATGTGCCAAAACTATTTCAGATATATACATATAAGTATATGTGTGTGTGTGCCAATCCATGTTAAAAATTTGCTACATAGCATAGATATGTAGATAGAAAGGCAGACATATAAAATTGTGATGGTGATGGTGGTGATGGTGGTGATGATGATTATTATTAATATATTACCATGCAGTAGCACCGCACAAGGCGGTGGCGGAAGTTTCAAAGATAGGACACTATAGGAGATGTGAGTTGTTGTGATGCATGGATGGCAGAGCGAACCCACTGATGGACCGCAAGGTGGTTGGAGTTGTGTTTTTTGGAGTGGTTGCAACGGTTGCAATGGTCACCTCACCCACATCTGCTGGATGTAGTGTGCTGGCTATAGCGCAGCTGTAGTTGTAGTTGTAGTGTTGTGGAGTTGTAGTTGTAGTGTAGTGTAATTAGTGTATCGCAGTTGGAGTTCTAGTTGTGGTGTGGTGTAATGAGTGTAATGTAATGTACTGTAGTGCAGTGTAGTGTGCTGTAGCGTTTTGTTCTATAGTGTGGTCTAGTGTAGTTGTAGTCGTAGTTAGTAGTTGCAGTTGTAGTTGTAGCTTTAGTTGTAGTTGTAGTAGTTAGTGTAGCGTAGTGTAGTGTAGTGGAATTAGCGTAGCGCAGGGTAATGTAGTGTAGTTGTAGTTGTCGTTGTGGTTGTAGTTGTAGTGTAGTGTACTTAGTGTAGTGTAGTGTTGTGTAATGTAGTGCAGATGGAGTTGTAGCTGTAGTCTTTGGTGTTTTGTAGTGTAATAAGCGTAGTGTAGTGTAATGTAGTGTAGTTGTAGTTGTAGCTGTAGTAGTATATGTAGTTGTAGTTGTAATGTAATTAGTGCAGTTTTATGTAATGTAGTGTAGTGTAACTAGCGTAGTGTAGTGTAACTAGCGTAGTGCAGTGTAATTAGTGTACTGTAGTGCATTTTATTTGCAAATGTATTTGTAGTTGTAGCGGGAGCGTGGTGTAGTGTAGTTGTAGTTGTAGTTGTTTCTCCAAGTAAGTATCTATCTATCTATCTATCTACCTATCTATCTATCGATCTATTTGTTCAAGTTTGAAAACGAAGCTATGCTGCCAGACTTCCTCAGTTTTTGAGGTTGGCAACATCAAAAACGAAGCAAATCTGCGCGATTTCCACAATTGTCCAACCTGACAACGTCAAAAACGAAGCAATTCTCCGAGACTTCCTCATTTTTTTTTACTTGACAACATCAAAAACGAAGCAATTCTGCGAGACTTCCTTCAAAAATGGAATGTTGAGTGCAGCGCTGCTGGCCTCGTACCAATGCGTTTTGTAAATTTTCCACTAAAGTGCTGCGCCTGCCACGAAAAAGTGATGCCAGGTCATACTCGTGCGAAGTGCTGCACCTGTCACGCAAAATCTTAGCAAACCTGAAGATCGGATGCTCCAAAATGCAAACCTTCTCAGGAAATCAGCTCCCTGACTTCCTAACATCTCTGATTAATACGTCTCTCGTATTGCGCCTGCCATGCGAAATGCATCTTTGCAGATCCTCTTCAAATGTCCCACGCCTGCCATCTTTTTTGGAAACGCATGGAAGTGTTACAAAACCTTCTCAATTTGCTCAATTTTGGCAAGGTGCAGAACCCCCTGCGCCTGCCATGCAAAACAACATCTGAACGTCCAAAAGTGGTCTGAACATGCGGTGTTTTTAACATTTTGACTTGGAAATGTGCTTCGCGCCACAACGGCGTGCACTTTTTCGACATGTCAACTTCCAAAAGTGGTCCGAGAATGTTGCGCGGTCCGACACTGAGGTGTTTTTTGTACATTTTGACTTGGAAATGTGCTTCGCGCCAGAACGGCGTGCACTTTTTCGACATCTCGACTTCCAGAAGTGCTCCGAACCTGGTGTGTTTTGCACATTTTGACTTCGAAATGTGCTTCGCGCCACAACGGCGTGCAATTTTTAATTTCTCATTTGACCGGATGGCTCCGCACCTGCCGCTTTAGCGAGCCTACCTTTGGACCCGCCGGAGCCACAAATCATATTGTCGGAAGTTTGACTTCGAAACCTCTTTCGGTTATGTAGGAGTATGTCTCTGTGTGCATGTGTTTACATATCTTGTTCAAATATTGCTGGAACGATCAGGAGTGTGATGTCGACGCTGACGACCTGTGTCTCCTCCCACGAGTTACAGACGGATGGGGTGCAACGGTGCACACGCGATGGGGGTGCTCTTGGATAACATGGGATACCCGGTTGACGGGCAACGGTTGATGTTCAATGGAAACTCACTGAAATGCCCAGTTGCTTTGAACAGCGTTATATAGCTGAACGTGGAAGTCCAAGATGCGAATCGCGTATATCATGTGTGTTGCTCTAAGTGGAGAAACATATAGGAATAAATGTTCCAACTGTCTTGAATTTTCATGTCTTTGCTTAATAAAGTAACTCTTTGTATCTGTAGCACTGTAGATATTGTAGGCTGCGTGGCATGTTGCCATGATCCGGCTTGCAAAGGCTTAGAAGGCGTAGCAGCTGGGACGCGTCGAAGCATCCCTGAAAGATATCGATATGCATATAATGAAATTTATTACATAATGTTATGATGCACAAAATATCCGTACATATGTGTGCGTGTGTGTGTGTGCGTGTAATATAAGTTAATATATTCGTGTCCATGAATATGTATAAAGTATATTCCTTGTATGCTTGCCCCATTTGGAAACTATTGGAAACATACACCATCATGCCCGCATGCCTACACCCCCTGAAAACATCACGACTACATCCTGCCACAGTTGAGGTTTCAACGCGGAGAAAATGGAAGCTTTGGCCTCGCGCGCCCACATTTTTGCACATGCCAGCGCCACACAAACCCATGGTAGCCTGTTCGAGAAACCCGTGTCCCGAGACAATTTGCCCGATTTGTCCCCAAAAGGGAAATGGAAGGGAGGATTTATCTGACCAGATCTGACCTGAGCGATTTCACACATTCTTCACCACCATGGATCATCATTGATATCACAGCCATTGGGGAGCAAACTTGCCATGTCTTTCCATGGAAATCCGGTCAGAAGCGATTCAGATGCCGCAACTTCTGGACGTGCAAAGCATCCCCGGAGTGGCTGTGCTACGCGCAGGTGGGTGCCAAAGCGCGTGGCACCGCGGTGCCCGGCTTGGGACTGACCCAGTCCGACGTTTGTGATAGTTATCAGATTGCGCCTGATAAATTATGCCTACTTGGATTGGACACTTCATGGAATTTCATTGATATTCAATTGCATTGTCATGGGCTAACCATCTCTCTGTGTGTCAAAATTGCAGCTGTGTGGCTTGACCAGCTCCGAAAGACCGCATGACTCGATATGCTGCGTGATTTTGGATGATTTGGGGGTACCCCCCATTGTCGGAAACTTCCATATGTGTGCAAAATGGTGTACCTGGGAAAACCCCGAATTCCAAGACATCACTTTCTCCAGAGAAATGCCTTCGGTGGCCATTTAAGGGCAAAGAGGTTGCTGTCACGAGGCTGGTGAGTTCTACAGGGATCATGTATCCCATCGGAACAGGGAACGGAGCATCGAAAGCAGCAGATCCGGAAACAACCGAACCGACAGGCGTTGGTTTTTAAGAAGTAAATATGAATATATTATAATTTTACGTGTCTTCCAGGCACTCAGCAAGGTTACCTGACATTTTTTTTCCGTTCCCTTGAAAAATGCAAGATGCGAATATGTTCGCGCATGGATTGTCATCCTCAAATTGCATCTCTGAGCGCTGTCTCTAGCATGCCTAAATTGCAGCCCGTCATTGCTCAGAACAGTATGACTCTTGACCACTCCACATAACAAATCCGTGGATGCGGCAGGCTTCCCAGTGCAGAGATTGGATCTATATAAGGGTTTTTGTGCTCAAATCATCTCAAACCATGGAGACCTAGTTGTAGTTCTTGGAAGTTGTAGGTTCGGTGACATCATCAAGGTTATGTTTCAGACATGAACGCAGTCTTCCAGCAGTCATAAATGGAAGGTTCATATTGTGACCTGTACTTCTCTTCCGGGATCACACTGTTGCTAAAGTCCCAGGAAGAAGCCGATCCGGATTCAGACTTGTTTCACCCTGGTCATGCGCTGGCGTGCCGGTTTGCGGGTGGTCAAACAGAAGCCATGGCGTATTTGAATCCAATTGGAAGTTGGACCCATCGATGCTCCGTTCTGAAACAAGAATCCGCAAAACCAGACACAGACTATGATTATGACTTGATTGAATGCAGTACAATGCAGCGTTTCACATGTCACTAAGATCACATATTGTTGCCCGAAATTCCATGCAATTCCCTTTGAATTTGTAGTTGCCAGCTTTCCTTTTGGCCTACCTGGTTTATCAATGTTTATCATATTTTATAGCTTTGTATAGGTTCCATCGTTTCCATCATTATTAGTTTTTTCCCACCAAACTTGCGTTCAGTTTCTGGGCCCAGTGACCCCCGCCACCGCTCACCGACCTCGGCCTTTTCTCGGAGAATGACGTTCAAAAAGATGTGTTTGTTCTTAGCGGGGAAAGCGGAGGGGGGTGTGGTTGGAAGTTGACATCCGTAAAACGGGTAATTCATGGTAATTAGGTAATTTGATGCCTGGATGTTTTTGGGGTGCCACAAATGGGGATAAGTAATTAAGCAACCAAAAACATGGGGACCGGGACCGAGGAGGTTTTCCAAGATTGTTCAGGAATGGGATACGGCACCTACAACTTTCAGAAAGGTTGGAGAATGTTGGAGAGGTTTCTATGCAATTTGCCTACAAAGGGTGAAGAACATTTGGTTTTCCACCACAACCTCACAATATGATGTCATGGTTTGGAGCGGAACTGTATGGGATACAGTTCTAATGCGTGACAGTTATTTTTTAGATTGGTGAATTTTATCATATTTCAGCCATATGGTTCTTGAATGGACAATGTGAGGGTGCACAAAACGGGGCCTTGGCATATTCAAATTGGGTTTGAACAGACAGCGTCATCAAGAGAGTCAGATATTGCCAGTTTGCTGTTTTCTCGAGCCATGGATAAGTTTCAGTTGTAGACGAATTTCGAGGTTTCTGGCAAAAACACGGGAACAACTTGATATGATACACTTAGTACATTTTAGTATTCATTCTTCATTTATCAATTTTTGACATCCTTTAGAGGGTGAACTCTGGAGCCACGGCAGGTGGCCTCTAGCTTTCCCATGCTGTTACTGGCCACACGGCGACCGGAAGAGCAATTGGGTCCCCTCGTCGCATTCTTGCTGCTTGACTGAGGAGTTTCTTCAGCCGTTGTTGTTTTGTGCAGGAAGGCCACAAAATGTTCATTATTCAGTGATTTATGGAGGTAATCCCGAGATACATGGCCATGTAGTAATGATAACCTGCAACAGTCACGTGCCTTTCACTGCGTTCAACTTTTTGAGGCCTGGTTTGCTTAGAACTTCCAATCCCCCCGCCCTCCTCCAAGAGTATTAACCGCAAAAACGGGTGGCCTCAGATCCCACATCAGTCCAATTGTGTACGTAAATTCATTTATGTATGCGCCAATGCATCAAATAGTGTATATAAATCTAAGGTCTATAATTCTATCCCAATGGATCCAAGAAGGTACGGCTAACCACCCAAATCATACCCAAAGCCCTCCCTGAGAAGGTACTCAGATCCAGAAGATATAAACCCATAGATATGCATATAAATACATAAAGCTTGTGCGTCTTATGTGGTACATATACATAGTACATCATACTATAGATAGATAGATAGATAGATAGATAGATATACATATATAAAGAGAAGGTATGCCCTCGTGAGGGCAGTGACCACACACACATATATATATATAGTTGTATATATATATAGATATAGATATAGATGTAAATAATATACAGCAAATATAGAAAACTATAATACCATCACCGAGTTTCCCTTCCCAGCGCTGAGGCGCAGCCTGGGCGTCGCCCCAAACGCCACGAAGGCGTTGCAGTTCTACGCCTGGCCCAATGCGGCCGAGATGCTTCGGGAAACGGCGCCCGGGACGGCGGACAGATCACCGTCAAAACCTATGAAATACCATGGGTTTAATCATTGTTTGTTACCATTGGGTTTTAATGACCTATGAATTACCATGGGTTTAATGATCACTTATGATAAATACCATTGGCAACTTTGGTTTTATCATTGTTCATCCCATAAAACTGCGTGGAAACAACATGATGTTTTATGGTAAAGCAATATATTGGTTGATTAGCAACTGGGTATATTAGCCAGCAATCATGGGAATGATTTGAGCAACACATTGGAATGGATCAAAAGCTATGAAAGTTTCAGGAGAACATCACTTGACTAATCTTTGCCCGGCACGGTTTTGACCCACCAAACATGGACAGATGGAACACCTTACCATGGTGAAACCACGCAACTCTCGGTTGATGAGTTGATGTCATCTCAGGCATGGGGTAAAGCTAACAACAGCCCGCAATAACCACGCTGAATTTTAGCAGTTGCGCTCCACAAAACTCCATCAATGATTGGAGGCCATGTAGAATGCCAGACACAATGCCAGAAAGAATGTCAGATACAATGTCAGAGTATATACCAGAAACAAGATGTCAGATAGAATGTTGCAATGTAATTATATATATGTATGTATGTATGTATGTATGTATGTATGTATGTATGTATGTATGTATGTATGTATGTATGTATGTATGTATGTATGTATGTATGTATGTATGTATGTATGTATGTATGTATGTATGTATGTATGTATGTATGTATGTATGTATTATGTATGTATATGTATGTATATGTATGTATATGTATGTATATGTATGTATATGTATGTATATGTATGTATATGTATGTGTATGTATGTGTATGTGTGTATGTATGTATGTATGTATGTATGTATGTATGTATGTATGTATGTATGTATGTATGTATGTATGTATGTATGTATGTATGTATGTATGTATGTATGTATGTATGTATGTATATTATCGTACACATATATATATATATATATATAAATAGATATACAATGATATACATACATACATACATACATACATACAACCAACATACATACATACATACATACATACATACATACATACATACATACACACACATATATCCATATGGCGTGTATACTTCCAGATGATATGTCAGAAACTATGTCAACATAGTGTGTCAGGGGCGATCACTCAAAGTAACGTAATTTGTTCCAGTATGATTGTAGGATTGCTTGTCTTAAAATCCTTTGTTTGGGTGGGTTGAATCCACTCCGTTGAAGTTTTGGCTCAAGACACCCAGCCCTTTCGGCATACGGCGCAGCCCTGGTATGGGGGCATGCTGTAGTTCGGCGGCCGGAGTGTCCGGTGCAGAGGATGTGCATGAGAAGTTGTATCCAATGTGGTTGGTAAAGGTCTCAGATTTGTTGAACATGGAGAAGCTCTTGAGCTTCAATGATCTGAATCCTGTCGTATCATTCAGCCAATTCAGCCATGGTATGTATAACATGTGTTGAAGGCGTTAGGAGGAATGTGTTTCGGATTTTTTAACGGAGCTGCAGTGCTCTTCAGCTCGCGAGCTTCAGGAAAGCCTTGTGGAAGTTGCGAGAGCATCGGGTGGGCATGTTTTGCATTTTCATCTCGCATCAATGGCTGGGCAATGTCCATCCAGATCCCACTGGGTCTCAGTTCAAGATTCTGAAGGCGCAGAAGTACCCAAAATTCGATCGGGTTGAACATGGAATATGTTTCGAACCGCTTGGGATGATGCTGAGGGCCTGGGAAATTTGTTGCGACGACCAGGGTTCGGTTTGGGCTTTTTCGCCAGGGCTTTGAATACATACCAATGGTTGACGCAGCACCACCCGCCGTTCATAATCATATAAAATTTCATGGCATGTTGGACAAATCAATTCATACATCAATATTCTCTGCAAAGATGATTTTGTGCATTTGAAAGATAGCTATAACAACATATTCAATATGGAGCTGCAACAAGGTGTATGATGCAAACTGATATCAAACATTGCAAAAACCTAGTTAAGTTAACTCAATTACTTAATTACAACCCCAAAGGTTTTTAAAGAAGAGTTTATTGACAAGGAGTTTGCAAGCAATCATATTTTATTACTATAACGTGCTATAGATGACAGAAAATACACATGTAGTTTGAATGATATAAGAGAAGACGTAAACGCAGATTTACCCATCGATATGTTTGTTTGTTTGTTTTTTGTTTGTTTGCTTGTTTGTATATATGTATGTTTGTTTGTTTTCGTTCGTTTGTTTGTTTGTGTTTGTTCGTTCTTTCGTTCGTTTGTGTGTTTGTGTGTCTTGCTTGCTTGCTTGCTTGCTTGCTTGCTTGCTTGGTTGGTTGGTTGGTTGGTTGGTTGGTTGGTTGTTTGTGTTTGTGTGTCTTGCCTGCTTGCTTGCTTGCTTGCTTGCTTGCTTGCTTGTTTGTTTGTTTGTTTGTTTGTTTGTTTGTTTGTTTGTTTTCGTTCGTTTGTTTGTTTGTGTTCGTTCGTTCGTTCGTTTGTGTGTTTGTGTGTCTTGCTTGCTTGCTTGCTTGCTTGGTTGTTTGTTTGCTTGTTTGTGTATCTATCCAGTTGTTTATCGAATCAATGCATACCCATCTTATCGAATCTATGTAATCTTGCTCTGAAAATGATCCACTGTTTTCTAGGCTTGGACATCTACCAATGTATCCATACATCCATGCATCCGTGTTTCCATCTATCCATTTATCCATGTATCAACGTATCCATCCATTCATTTGTCCAGTTGTCCAGTTGTCCAGTTGTCCAGTTGCCCATCCATCCATCCATCCATCCACCCATCCATCCATCCATCCATCCATCCACCTCCATCCACCTCTCTATCCATTCATCTATCCATCTATTTATCTATCTACCTACCTACCTATCTCATCTGTCTATACAGCTAACCCAAGGATAGATATGATATAACATGCGTATATACAGATATGCACATAACCTAGTCTATTCGAATCTAAACAAACCTTGGTAGCAAACACACTAGCTACCTATCTAAATCTAACCTAATCTAATCATTAATCTGAAACAGAAGTTTAACCCAAATCGAATCTTCAATCAAGATCTAATCTCATCTCATGTAATCTAGTCCTAATCCTAATTCAGTCCAACCCGATCCAGATGATTTAAATATAATCTAACCTAACCTAATCTAATTTAACCTAATCTAATCTGTGTGCCTATACGGAATGGCTTATAATGACTCTGTGTTTGCGTGAATAGATAGATAGATATAGATATATATATATATATGCCAAATTGTCAACATATGTTGTTTTCCATTTGGGCCATGATTCACCAGGCGGCTTTGAAGAAGGTTGTGGATGGAAGCATGTCGGTGGAGGGTGACGTTTCCGCCCAACTTCGCTTTCGAACGATGCGCTTATCTCGTGCGGAGAGGGATCGCATTCGCAATGGGTACATCGGCAACATTGGGCAAAAAGTGCAACAATTTGTGGTTGATGGTGATCTCTCGAGCTATGAAACCCAACGGCCAAAAGTAGGGTTGGTGTGGGACAGAACCCTGGTGTTTTCTTGTCATGTATTCAGTTTGGTTGAGTACACAGTGCTACTTACTGTAGTTATTTGTTTCTTCCATCAGCCGATATATTGACAAAGTTTGCACGCAATCACAAGCCTCCAGAACCCTGAGCCCACACAGACATTCACAGAAGTTATTTGTCTATATATCTGGGCTTGGAACGAAAGGTTCAGTTTTGCCAGCGACTCAATTAGTTATTCTCGCCGCTGCTTTAGGCGTCACCAAACATTTTGCTGTTTCATGTTTTTTAGAAGTGGTTTCCTTCATCCCAGAAATGGTTTAAGGCGAACAACATCTAGGAAACTTGATATCCAATGGGGTTAAAAACCATGGTCTCATGGGACTTTTCCCTGGAATCAACCTCTGGATCCAAGGTATGTTTGGTTTGATTGGTTCTCAGTGCCGCAGATAGCTTCGCGGGAACCCGATGCAGGCGAACATGAGTTTGCAGATGACACATGCCTTTGTGCCACCTGGCACAATTTGCTTTCACACATGTTTGGTTGGTTGTTGAGATTTTTGGAAAATAAGACGAATGAATGACGCGCATGTATTCATATAATTATACATATATTTGATATTATATGATTATACAATGGTTTAGTTACTGTTTGTTGCGACATAAGTATATCGCCACAGCGAAATACTAAGTTTGTGATCGAGGGTCGGCAAAAAAAACATAAACGCAATAAGCCCACCGAACGCCACCCCAGTGCACATGAACTTGTCAGAATGTAGCATTCCGTAAGTATGCAGATGTACATGAACGTGTCAGAGCGTAGCATTCCCTACGTACGCAAGTGTGCATTGTACATGAACGTTTTTTAGCCCACCCCACCCCAACAACATTGAAGGAGATGACATTTCTACGGCAGGCAGTTGATACGACCCGATGACGAACGTGGGTACCCAATATATCAGATTTCGCAAAAAGAGACACACCCTCACAGTACTTCGTATCAACCGCCTGCCAAAAACAAGAATGTATTTTCTTCATAACCAGGATCCTGATTCCAATGGACTCGGACTAGTATTCTTAAGGGTTGAAACCGCCAGGTAGGATCAAGGTGGGAAAAGGCTCCTTAAGTCCCTGAATTTCAAAAGATGTTTGTTTTCCCGGATGTGATGCTGCAATGGTTTTAAGAGCTTCACCGCTGTCCAAGTCAAAATGAAACCAATGGGAGGTGAGACACATTCAGTCTTTCTTACCATTAAGGATTCTTCAACAGCGCCCAGCCATTCAACATGTTTGTGGGTCACCTGAAAATAGCGTGCAACTGGATGTTCAGCCAAAAACCTATTGGATCGGGATTATTCTAGCAATTTCTTGCCCATATTCCAGGGCTGAACATATTCCATACCAAAATAGCTGGGAAATTTCAGGAAATTGCCAAGACCCCTTTCAGGTGAAATTTGTATTTCATACAGTTTGCCAAGTACTCCTTTTCTTCTCGTACGTTGTCGACTGCACATGTTCTTCCCCAAAGAAGATCGTTACTTTCAACAATTTCTGGAAATGTCATAATAATGTTGAGCTTTCCAAAAATAGATTGATAATGTTCTTATGGGAATTTGTCGTCTACACTTTTCAGGATCTCAAAGCCCAATTCATAAGCTTTCCCCATCTTTCTTGACATCTTTGTGGCCCCGCAAAGAGCTCTGCACACAGAATCTGGGAACACAAATCATCGACGATCCTGTTTTCTTCCGTGCAAAATAATTCCACCGATAGAGTACGATGCCACCCCTGGAGTGCGCTAATTATCTGGAATGCGAAAATAAAACAGTATGTGTGGCCCCCTTCGACCTTCCCCATGGATCCAACACCATTTGTTTTTCATCACATACCAGAAATTTATCACACTCACCCTGCTGAGCTGCTGGACTCCTGTTTTTTGCCAAAATGGCCTGGAATGCGATAGTATGGACGTCTCAGGTGGGAACTCCATCTTCCCAATATTCCAGAATACGTCATTCCAGGCAATTTTAGCCAAGAAAACGAAAACAAAAATACTTTCCTTCGAGTAATCCCCACCATGACATTACGTTTTGTTACTGGCAAATCTTCTGGCATTCTATCTGACGTCTCTTCTGGCATTCGATCTGGCATTCTATCTGGCATATCTTCTGGCACTCTATCTGGCAAATCTTCTGGCGTTCTATCTGGCAAAATCTGGCAAACATTCTGGCACTTTATGTAGCATACCTCTTGGCATTCTATCTGACATTCTATCTGGCGTTCTATCTGGCATATCTTCTGGCATTCTATCTGGCCGTTGAGGTCCAGCGGTGCCCACTGAGCTCGGAAGGTCCCAGGTTGAGGTCCAGCGGTGCCCACTGAGCTCTGAAGGTCCCCGGTTGAGGTCCAGCGGTGCCCACTAGCCTCGGAATCTCCGTCCAGCGGTGCCCATTGCGCTCAGAACCTTGCGGTTGAGGTCCAGCCGTGCCCATTCAGATCGGCAGCCGGCAGTTGAGGTCCAGCAGTGCCCACGGAAGTTGGCGAAGAGCTCTGAGGGTCCCAGGTTGAGGTCCAGCGGTGCCCACTGCGATCAGAACCTGGCGGTTGATGTCCAGCTGTGCCCACTCAGATCGGAAGCCGGCAGTTGAGGTCCAGCTGCGCCCACTGCCACAGAAGTTGGCGAAGAGATTGGCGAAGAGTTGGCAAGGCGGAAGTGGACATGGAAGTGGATGCAGAGGTGGTGGAAGAGAAGCTGGAGGACGAGGAGAAACTGGAGGAGGAGGAAGAGGAGGAGGCGGAGGAGGAGGAGGAGGCGGAAGAACAGCTCTGATAAAATCTAACAACCCTCACCTGGCAGGTGGGGAATAAAAACGTAAAAAACGTTTCATTCACCGAGTACGAAGATTTTATGGAGTGCGCAGATCTTGCCGAGCGCGATGGTTTGACAGTATGTGTACCTCCCTAGCTGTGGAGTGCGATGCCCTCGCTGGAGTGCGAAGAATTTGTGGAACGCGAAGAGGCGAAGAATTCCGCGTATGCGTGGCTGGTATAGAGACCGCATAGGGAAATTTCGGGGCCAGAACCAAAATCCCAATCCCAAAGGCCAGCCCAAACTTCCAGGGCCACACCAGAGGGTTCTATTTTTCCGAGTTCACCTTGGGAAGAAACTGGCCAAATTTTTATTCAGCCAACCTTTAAAAGTTACCTTTGACAACCCTGTCCTTCTTCGGTAGACAAATGAGGAAACTCCCTTATCAAAGCAGCCTTGCCTTCAATTCATCCAAAGTTGGGAGGGGCATTCAGTGGATTCGCCATGGCCCAACTATTCCCTCCAGATTGAGCTGAAATGCCTATCATAGTAACATACCAAAACCCAGGTCTGGAGTACGATGAAAACAAGGTATGCAAAGATTTTCTGAATATGGGAATGTTGCCTCTAGAATCCTAGAATTATGGATGATTCTGGTTGTGACCCTCTGCCATATGTGTACCCCATTTCCGTTTGATCCACGTCACCTCCCTGACTTTTTTGCTTCGCTTCCAGGTGAAATCCATCCCCAGTTATGTGGAGAAGTGCCAGGTGTTTGTGGTTTTGGTCCCCCGGCTGCTTCACGCCGATACTGAGCTGCAGGGGGGACTGGTGAGGCGCAGTTGAAGTGACAGTTGAAGAAACTTGGAGTATGCCCCAAAGCCGTTTGCCATCATATGTGTCCTTCTCAAATAGATTCAACAGCCAATTCTATGCATTTCTGGGGTCTACCCCATTTCTGTGGTCCCAGCACCCACCCCCTTGTTCCAGCCTCTAAAGGATCGAGGGACTGTGTGCAACTACAGCACTTGGCTGGATCGAGGTTCGCGGTTGGTGGTATCACTGGATTGCTGATTTGTTGTGTTAATGCACACCTCAGTGGATTCAGTGGAAGATTCATACTCTTTTTCTTTGGATTAATCAAAAGTCATCTTGACTTCTTGGTAAATTCCTCTATGGGGGAAGGAAGCTGGTAGACTTTGTGTGACAAACACGTTTGAATGTGAGTTTCAATGGATTATTGTAAGGGACTGTAAATGTGGTAGTTTCAACATGTTTCAACCACACATTTCCCCTTCATCCAATTTATTGGGGCTGGCAGGCTGGTGCCGTGCAGAGATGTGGTGTAAGGTCTTGTCTGTGGCTCGGTGGGGAAGTTTAACACACTGAGGGATCTCACCAACCAACACCGGCTTTGACTTCAAGCTACGGGAGAAAACCTACGCATAAAAGAACAACGCATTTGAATGTACTGGTGTGCCATTTGGTGCCCCAATGACATGCCAGAAATTGAAAGCCTTGGCATGTGAAAATGGGTGAAGGCTCTCAGCACTCACCAGCATCAGCATCACATGTGAATCAAACCGTTTTTTCCCGCAGCTTGCCGGGCCTACGTCTCCATGGTTGATATTGAGATTCTGCCTGCATAGCGCACAACAATGGGTAAAATAACAAAATCAAAGAATCATACATGAATGATATTGAATGATTAATCCTTCTTGGAATCCTTCACCAGATGTTTTGTCGGATGAGGGACCTCGACCAAGGGATTCAGAAATTCCCTTCAGCATTTGTCAGGAAGCATCAGACATCCCCATGATTGTCATAGAGTCTGAAGACAAGGCCGAGTTCTTGTTTCCTTTCAACTGGAACAGGCGCGCTGCCAGCTGAGAGTTGGTTTCACCAACAGAAACCATTGGCTTGTCAGGCTGATGAACCCTATATATATACATATACATATATATATATATTTATTTTATTTATTTTACTTATTTTATTTATTTTATTTATTTTATTTATTCTATTTATTTTATTTATTTTATTTATTTTATTTATTGTATTTATTTTATTTATTTTATTTATTTTATTTATTCATTTATTTTATCTATTCTTTTATTTATTATTTATATATATATACATGTGTGTGTATTGATCCCTACAACCTCCATGCCTATCATAATCTAGTGGTTCTTGTTTTGGCCCTAGCGGCCACAACTTCTCAGAACCTCTTCTCCTTTGAACTACCACGAAGATGAACACCGGAAAACCCATCTATATATCCGTTGGAAAGCTTTGTCTGACACCCTTTAGCCATGACTTTTGCCACAAGCTGAAACGTAGATGAGCCCCATGTGCTTTGGATATCTTAGCCGGCACATACTGACACCTTTTAACTACACCAAGATGATAAGATGAGGCTTGATGAAAAATCCACAATGTACACATAAATTAACAAATATCAACACATGTCACATATTACATATTTCTAATCACATACCTGATATCCAAATCTATATCCAATATCGCCCAATATCATCCAATACATCCCTATTTCTGTTGGACTGTCCACCTCCCTTTTTGGTACAGACTCCAGGAAGGTGGCGCACGAGGCAGACTTCACAGTGGAGGCGGACCGCAGAGCGGTCTCCGAGATGTCGCGCAAGGCGCTGCTGGGGAAGCTGATGTCGCGTGCAGCTGGAGCTCAGCTGGCACAGTATCGCTACTTTGCGGCCTGCCAGGATGGGACTGATGGCTGGGGAATTTCCTGGGGGAATTTTGAGGAAATTCATAGAGTGATTCTTGGGAAAAAAGTGGGGATAAATGTTTGTGGTTGAATTAGAGATGTTTCAAAAATTGTGATTCCTTTTTTTTCTGTGTTTTGGGGGTTGGTGATTGTTGGGCTTCCTTGGGTTTGCCAGATTGTTTTGCATTATGATGACTGGGCAAGACGTGCTTGGGACGGATGCCTGTGGGGTGGAGTGGGAGTTTGACGCATCTTGGTGGTCATTGTGAACTGGACGCCTTAAGAACCGTGCCCAGCAAAAATGGAGGATTTACCGCAATGTATGATGCCCATTCGCCATTTGTCTCCATGGGGAACATGACGATTATTCAACGCAGTTTATGGATGTTTATGGCCATTACTGTTTGAAATGGAAAACATCAGGATCACATATGGTCATTTGATATAAATAATATGCATATAGCAGAGAACATCATCATCATCATCATCATCAGCATCATCATCATCATCACCATCATCATCATCATCAGCAGCAGCAGCAGGAGCATCGGCATCATTTTCATCAGCATCAGCATCATCACCAGCATCATCACCAGCAGCAGCATCATCATCATCAGCAGCATCATCATCATCACCATCATCATCATCACCATCATCATCATCATCATCACCATCATCATCATCATTATCGCAATCATCATCATCATCATCATCATCATCATCATCATCATCAGCATCAGCATCAGCATCAGCATCGTCCAATATCAACCGTCAGATATTTGGGGATCCCTGATTAGACCTCACATCGTACAGGAGGGCTTCACTGGGCAGCCACCGGCCAGGAGGTCGGTTCAGGACCGAGAGAGAGGGGAGCGCTCAGGAGTTGGGGGAAACCCTCCCCGGATCCATAGAGAAGTTGATGAAAAGAGATGAACTGATTTGTAGTGGAAACTGATTTTCCAACCCCTATCTCGCAGGGTCTATGTTAATTTGCTGGAGAGTACACGGATATCTATCTATATATGTATAGATATATATATATATATACATATCTGTGTCTTTGTGTTTAATATATACTTATACTTATAACTATAACTATATATATATATATGCGTGTGCGGGTGTGATACAATATGTGCTAATGTGATTCATGTTTATTCATGTTTTTTTTTGATCACTTACTTCTTGAAGATTGTCAATGTTGTGGACAATTCCATTCAGCCGCAGTCCGATAGCCCACACCAAGAATTCCCAAGGTTCAACAGGGATTTCGGCCGTTTCGGCCTATCCTCAGCCATTCTGAAATTCGGAATCAAGTCGCAGGAGTTTCTTTCCTTCTTCCGCTTTCCATCATTGAAAGATGCTATAGCACCTGCAGGCTGCTCTAAGTGAAGTGGGTGGGCTCAACAGGGCTGTTGACCACCTGCATGCTGTCCTTTCGTACTGGATGGCTCATGTATGAAGGGAAACCCCCGCAATCAAAAACAGATGCGCATTTGAATGTTTTTTTAGATATTAGTATAGATCTCGTGGTCGGGAGTTTATGTTAAATCCTATGCCAAAGGCACCACTAAGATGATTCTTGGTAAATGAACAAGTGATAACACGTCAAAATACGTCATAGCATTGCCCAGCATGCTTGTTTTTTCTCATTGATAAAATTGATATTTTTTCCGGCATGGTTATGAAGGTTAGATAAATGGACATGGTTTACCTGCATGTTTTTCATGGAAAATCGATGCACACTGATGAGAGGCGTCGTCGAGGTCCATGCGGAATCGCACGCTCAAAATTAGACAGTAAATTGTGATAAATGGATGTACCCTCTGGTAATCAAACATAGCAATGGAAAATTCCCCAAGATTGAGGTTTTAATTGGAAAATCATCGAACTAAATGGGGTATGTTCCATTGCAATGTTTGATTTCTGGGGGCGACATCCGATAAAATCCCATTAGCAATTATTCACCCGTTGTTCATCCAATGTTATTTATTTGAATTAACCAATATTCACCATGCCAAACGTCGTCTCTGAGGGTCTGCCCTCCCCAGGTTATACCGGCCTGGCATGCGCCACGTTGTCCGGAGATCTCCCCATGATGCGGCATTTGATCCGAGCAAAAGCTTCACCGGATGCCCCGCTGCCCCCGTTGGTGAAGGTGAAGTGGGAGACATGGGGGAGAACTTCACAGATATTTGGGGATGGAATATTTAGGCGCATGTCAGAATAGATTGATATTCTTTATTTATCTACCTGTATATATATATACATACATGCATGCATACATACATACAAACATAATATATATATATATATGTATGTATGTATGTATGTATGTTTGGTATATCATAGTTCTTTTTTATTCATATTAAACCCACATTTATTTACAGTAAATATCTTTGCATGTGTGCGGCTTTTTAAAAGAATAATGTTGACAGGAATTATATATTTAAATTGCCTAGGTCATTTTAAACAATTGTTGGGCTGAGAACTGGGGCAAGCCGCCACTTTGGCTTGAGGAACTGGAAAGAACCACCGAAACGGGGCGTCTAAATCTCACAGTATTCAGGGATGATGTCAAGTTGAAGCACGGAATGGAAAACAGGAGTGCTTATGTATAGGGTGTTTTTTTTTGATATGTCTTGCATATCAAGCATATTCTGCATATTCAGATACGGTCAATGTTTATATTTTGCATCGGTGTATACAGAGTATATCGGGGAAATCCCCTGTGTACATACATATATATGTATGTATGTATGTATGAATGTAATGTAATGTAACTTAATGTAATGTAATGTAATGTAATGTAATGTAATGTAATGTAATGTAATGGTATGTATGTATGTATGTATGTATGTAATGTATGTATGTTATGTTATGTCATGTTATGTCATGTCATGTGTTGTTATGTTGTGTTATGTCATGTTTTGTTATGTTATGTATTTTATGTATGTTATGTATGTTTTGTGTGTATGTATGTATGTACGTATGTACGTATGTATGTATGTATGTGTGTATGTGTGTATGTGTGTATGTGTGTATGTGTGTATGTGTGTATGTATGTATGTATCTATCTATCTATCTATCTATCTATCTATCTATATATCCATCTATCTATGTATGTATGCATGCATGGATGTATGTTTGTTTGTATGTATGTATGAATGTATGTATGTATGTATGGATGGATGTATGCATGGTATGTATGTTATGTATGTTATGTATGTCTGTCTGTCTGTCTGTCTGTCTGTATGTATGTATGTATGTATGTATGCATGCATGCATGCATGTATGTATGTATGTTATGTATGTTATGTATGTTATGTATGTTATGTATGTTATGTATGTTATGTATGTTATGTATGTTATGTATGTTATGTATGTTATGTATGTAATGTATGTTATGTAAGTAATGTATGTAATGTATGTAATATAATGTAATGCAATGCAATGTAATGTAATGTAAGGTAGGGTAGGGTAAGGTAAGGTAAGGTAAGGTAATGTATCTATCTATCTATCTATCTATCTATCTATCTATGTATGTATGTATGTATGTAATGTAGAAGGAACCCAATCTCGGTTTAGAGTACTTGATTCGAGTCCGCGTGCTGGGTTGAAATGCTTAAGCCACAAGGCATTTTAGATCAGAGGCATTTTGTGCAAAACACGGATCGCCGTTCATTCCACAGGGAACCTAGCATGCCAAATGATCATCACAGATCCCGTTCAGATTTCCCTTACAAAATGTATTGAGTTGAGTTCCGTATGAACCCCCCCGGCATAGGTTTGGAGGGCCAACAATCCATGCACCACACTTTGCACCACGTTCTTGAGGCATTTTAAAGTGCACCTGCCTGTGAATCTTTTTAGGTCACCACTTCAGTTTGGGAATTGAAACGGACATAGTACATGCTGAGGGTGGGAAACTACCTCGTATTCCTGGAGCCTGGAGACGCCTATTTCCTCACGGCGGACCAGTACCAGAGGTTCTACACAGAGATAGGTGCTGGAGGGGCAACGGGATCACATGGGTGGTGACGGCTGGATGGCGCACAGGAGATGAAGCGGCAAAAGAGAAGTACTTGCGAGAACGGAGAAAGGTGTTGCCGCGTGGCACCAAACGGAGACTCGAGGCCTCCTGTAGTGGTCTGGTGCTGGACGGGTTCATGAGAGAATTGGGGATTAAGGAAACAATCAGTTATGTTTTTTCATGTTTTCTTGCATTTGCATGTCTTTTGAGGCTCTTCTCTGCTTTTTCATGCTGTTTCCTGCTTATCTGCTACTTTGCTTTTCTGCTCATTGGCTTCTTTGCTGCTTGCTTCCTTGCTTTGTTGGCCTTTTCCTTTTCTGTTGGATTTCTTTTATTGCCTTTTCTGTTGGCCTTTTTCTTGTCTTAGCAGTGTTTTGCTGTTTTTCGATGCTGGTAATGTTTTTCTATTTGGCCGCCTTTGCGCTTTCTGCGTTGGTGCTTTCCACGTTTACATTTGTTATTCTTTACATTTTGTTCGCTGTGGCAAGAAACGCATTTGCAAGTGAAACGCGTTAAAACTGTAGGTTTGATCACTTCTTTGAATTTGCACTAGCTGCATCGCAACATTAGCACCAAATTATAACCATCAGCAGCAGCAGCAGCCGTCATGAATGAATTATTATCATCATTATCATGAACATCATCATTATCATGAACATCATCATCATCATCATCATCATCGTCATCATCATCATCATCATCACCATCATCATCTGAGTTTGTGCGTCTGGGGTTGCGGCCGGGACCAACCTTTTGATTATCCCTGGTGATGCTAGCGGTGTACCACTTTTATTTAAAACGCCTGAGCTGTTGAAACAGGTTCTGCTTCGGTTTTCCAGAACATCAGTTAAGCTGCCCGCCTTTGGTCCAGAACATTCTTGAACAAAAGACTTGGTTCTCACAATCTGCCGATGGCAAGGCGCTGAGTCAATGATTTGGTCGATTTTTTGATTTTATTCAATGATTGTTTTTCGCGAGCAGCTGTGTTCTTCAAGCTTTTTCCCAGCAGCATGGGACTCAACCCTCAAACCCTGTGGGCTCTGCTGAATCTGTAGATGCTGCTCCAGGATCCAGAAATCGAAGAGGCCGACCCAAAGCGGCGAAGAGTCTAGGCCTTCTTAGAGCGCTTCCTGTTGGGTAAAAAGCACAAAAACGCCTGGCCAGGCGCAGTGCTAACGGCGTGGCCGGTGCGACTCCCACTGGCGGTATGTCACAGTCATCCCACTGCCGTGTCCAGTTGCATCACTAGCGCAGAAATATGGCAGGTAAGCATAGCGCCATTTGCAGCCGTTCTGCAGCCAGAGTGGAACCCCACCATGGTAATTACCAGTAGTACCGCGCAAGGCGGTGGCGGAAGTTTCAAAAATAGGAAACCTATAGGAGAGGTTGGTTGTTGTGAATCCGGGATGGCAGAGGAAAGCCACTGATGGACTGAAAGGTGGTTGAGGTCTCCTCTCTTTCTCTTTCTTTCTCTCTTTTTCTCTCTGTTTCTCTATCTTTCTCTGATTATCTACCGACCTACCTACTGATCTATTTGTTTGTCTATCTATCTCCCCATCTATCTATCTATCTATCTACCTATCTATCTCCCTATCTATCTATCTATCTGTCTATCTATCTATCTATCTATCTGTCTGTCTATCTATCTATCTACCTATCTATCTCCCTATCTATCCATCTATCTTTATGTCTTTTTTTTTATTTAGCTGTCTCTCTCTCGATTTGTCTGTCTATCTACCTATCTATCTATCTATCTATCTGTCTGTCTAGCCATCCATCTATCTATCTATCTGTCTGTCTATCTATCTATCTATCTATCTATCTCTCTCTCTCTCTTTCATCTGTCTATCTGTGTAGCTGTCTATCTGTCTATCTGCCTTTCTATCTACCAATCTATCCATCTATCTAGCCATCTATCTATCTTTCTTTCTTTCTTTCTATCTCTCTATCTCTCCATCTATCTATCCCTCAAAACTGTCTCTCTATCTATCTGTCTATCTGTCTATCTATCTGTCTATGTACCTATCTATCTGTCTATCTATCTATCTATCCATCTATCTATTTATCCATCTATCTACCTACCTACCTACCTACCTATCTATCTATCTATCTGTCTGTCTATCTGTCTATCTGCAAAATCAAAAACAAAGAAATTCTGCGAGACTTCCGTCATGTTTGAACATAAGAACGTCCAAAACGGAACAATTCTGCGAGACGTCTTCATTTTTTGAACTTGACAACATCCGAAACGAAGCAATTCTGCGAGACTTCTTCATGTTTCGAAGTAAAAGACATCAAAACCGAAGAATTCTGCGAGACGTCCTTCCAAAATGGAAAGTTGAGTGCAGAGCTGACAGACTCGTGCCAATGCGTTTTGCGTTTTTTCCAGTCCACCTGTCTAAAGTACTGCGCCTGCCACGGAAAATTGATGCCAGGTCATACGAAGTGCTGCGCCTGTCATGCAAAATCATCTTAGCAAACATGCACATCTGATACTCCAAAATGCAACCCCTCTCTGGAAATCAGCGCCCTGACTTCCTAACATCTCTCATGAACATGTCTTTTGTATTGTGCCTGCCACGAAAATGCATCTTTGCAGATCCTCTTCAAATGTCCCATGCCTGCCATCATTCTTGGAAATGCTACAAAACCCTCACGTTTTGGTCACTTTTGACAAGGTGCACAATCCCTTGCACCTGCCACGCGAAACGACATCTGAACCTCCAAACTCCAAAAGTGGCGCGAACATTTGGTGCTTTGCACATTTTGACTTCGAAATGTGCTTCGCGCCACAACGGCGTGCACTTTTTCGACATCGCGACGTCCAAAAGTGGTCCGAACGTGGTGTGCTTTGTACATTTTGACTTGGAAATGTGCTTCGCGCCACAACGGCGTGCACTTTTTCGACATCGCGACGTCCAAAAGTGGTCCGAACGTGGTGTGCTTTGTACATTTTGACTTGGAAATGTGCTTCGCGCCACAACGGCGTTCACTTTTTCGACATCTCAACTGCCAAAGTGGTCCGGAGCTGGTTTGCTTTGTACATTTTGACTTGGAAATGTGCTTCGCGCCACAACGGCGTGCACTCTTTCGACATCTCAACTAGCCTCAAATCATTAGAAAAACACAGTGTTTCGCGACTTTCCTACCTTTTCACGCATCTGCATCTTGTTTCTTCTGACTCTTTCTCTTCTACTCTTCTTTCTTCTAATCTTTCTCTTCTCTCTGCCTCTTCCCTGCTCTGCTTTTCATCTGTCCATATTGTCGGAAGTTTGACTTCTAAACTTCCTTCGAATAATGGTAGATTAGTGGCAGATCCAGCCATGAATAAAGCGCGACTGTACCATTAATGGCAGTTTCGAGCTGGAAACCATCCAATGTGGCCCAAAATGCATAGTCTTGATTGCCGCCAAAGGCTGCCAATCACATGTTTTTGATATTTTCTTGCTTGTGTGGCTGCAACTTCATACTTGCCACTTGTCGTGCCCTTTCTATTGTTGGTCATGCGGGGTGTTTTATTGATGAATTTGTTGCACTTACTTGTGGCTCACCCATGACCTACAAGGACTTCACAAGTGCCAAGCGCACATCATCAATGCAATTCTTGTATAGTTTTGTCAAGCCTCTGAATAAGGAAGGATGAATTCGTCGTCACATGGACGAAGAGCGTGCGCCTTGCCAGTGTTGCCTCTGTACCATGCAGCGGTTCGTCAGATGTATCTCACTTGACTGTATTTCAACTGGCCAGGGCTACGAAACTCAGAACCATGCAGCTCCGGGCGACTACATTGCGCTTGGGGCACATGGTGCCTTGACTTTTGATGCGTTCTGCCCTGCTTGTCGACCGTACGCGCTGCCGAGGAGAGCAATACGTGATCGCAGCACATGTGGCGGCGGCAAAGATTCTCTTCGATACTTGCACAGAGCTACCACCAGGTTCTGAGCTGCTCTGATGCAGTTGCTGGTATTGTGCGACACTTCTAGATATTTGAACATGCACGTGCATAGGCATAAACGATCATACATGCCTAAATAGACACATGCATACACACGCACACAACGACACACACATAAATATACACAGACAGTCATGAAAATCTCATTGTCTGTGAGATAGTTTGTGACAATCAGCATACATCAATTCACCCTCTTTTTGAGTGTGGTCAGTTTTTATTCAGCGGCCAAGGCTTGCGGCCAAGGGATTCAAGGTGTACGATCCGAACGATCCCCCCAAAATGGTCGCCACTTGGCTCCGTGCAGAGATGACCCCAAAATGCCTCCGTGTCTTCAGAATTTTTAAGCGATACCTTTTCTGAGGTCGAAGTCACGGAGGAAGACTTGCCGCCTGGCGGAAGATTCATGGCCGCGTGGAACGAGGTCATGATGGTGAAGTGCCCAGGCTGCAGTCAGAGTTTCTTGCAGTAGATTTCAGTCGGAGTTAGTTGCGTTGTTACTTTTCCAGAGTAGATTTCAGTAGCAAGGACGGAGTTCACCTGCTAAGGACTGGGGATTTCATCATCGGCTGTGGCAAAAGCCACGGCCAGATGGAAGTGTACCGGGTCGATAGAGAGACCTTCCTGAGTACATACACTCGCTGGGAGGAACCTGAGGCCAGCTGCAAGTCTTGGAGTGGGTCAGTTGCTGATCCGGGACAGAGGGGACTCCATACATGGAGCAAAATTAAGCTGTCGACCAATATGGTTTGATGTCCTTTATGCATAGTAACTAGTATGATCATGTATGATCATGTATGATCTAGTGTATGTATGTTTATGTATCCCTGTTTGGATTTCCCCTACGAAATGCCAGGGCCTAGGCCTGGTACAGACTGGTTTATAGATTGCCATTTTGTAATGAAGACCTGCTGTTTTGGGGTCTGTTTGTAAGGGGTCATTTTGCAAGCATCTTATGCTGGTCATGTTGGATGATGCAGCCCTTGTTCCCAGTCATGTTGCAACAGCCATGAAAACAGATATAGAACCTGTGGATACCTGTGGCTTGTCATCATCCTTAAGGAATGCCTAACTTGTACCCGGTCATGGTGTAAGGATTCAGGGCTTGCCATTTTGTAAGGGTATGTAAGGGTGTAAGGGTTTGGGTTGAAGCCCCAAAAATTTCTATTTGGATGGCATTACCAACAATCCCTGTCTATCCATTTGTATGTTTTTATCCATATTTAAAAAAAAAACTTACAAAATGGCAGGGTAAACCATCGACCCTACAGAATGGCTGGGCATGGCTGTGTTGAATGTCAGCAGGGATCTTCAACAGCCCAACACGCTGGGGCCCTGTAGGGGCACTTATGTCCGTTCAGTATCTATTCCCAGGGGCCTCCCAGGTTGGTGGGTTGAAAGTTCATGATTGGGATGCCTGATCATTTTGTAGATCATGGTGAAGCCACCTGTGTTGATGTTATGTTTGTGGGCCTGCCCTTTCATCTTGTAACAGACATGAGACGAAGATCCACTAAGATGCTAGTAAACAAATCACAGCCTTCTGCCTAGAACCAACCATTATTCGTCCCTGGGCCATCAAGAGTTCATTATATACAGATATGATTGGGACTTCTGCACATTTGGAATGAATGGTACGCTTCCACCAATCTCTGAACACTTTAAAAGCAATCTGGCCCAGCAATCTGTTTCTCCTTTTGGGCCCCCACAACAATTTTCCTGAACCTTCAGAAGTGCAGGGACGCGAACTGTACACTGTATTGCCTTAACATCTTTTCTAAGGAGGCCTATTTTTTTGGAATTTTCTTTTTTTACGTTTTTGGACTGTTTTTTGGATTTCATGTTTTATCTTGCTTTCTCCTTTTCCGCTTTTTGCTTGTTTGCTTTTTTGCTTTTGTGCTTTTTTGTTGTTTTTTGCTTTTTTGTTTTTTTTGTTTTTTTTGCGTTTTTGTTGTTTTGCTTTTTTTTTGTTTTTTTTTAAATATGGTTTTACTTTTTTGCTTGTTTGTTTTGTTTTGTTTGTTTGTGTTTTTTTTGTTTTTTTGTTTGTTTGTTTTTTTGCTTAGTTTGTTTTTTGTTTTCTTGCTTTTTTGTTTTTTGTTTTTCCTGCTTTTTTTGCTTATTTGCTCTTTTGCTTTTTTTGCTTGTTTGCTTTTCTGCGTCTTTTTTGTATCTCTCCTTTGACTTTGTATACATACAAACAAATATCTTGTTGTATTTTTCTATCTATCCATTTATTCGTGTGTCCTTCCATCCATGGCTACTCCTAGTTGTCTATCCATCCATCTATCTATCTATTTATCTATGTATCTATCTATGTATCTATCTAGGTATCTATCCATGTATCTATCCCACAACCCGCTTTTTATCAACAAGCCGCAACATATCATTCAGAACTTCTGCAAACGCTTTGCGGGGGGAGGCGCTGCGCCCCCCCCTGCACCCCCCACCTGCTTTTTTATCAACAACAAACAGCCGCAACAGCAACAACGGCAAACAACAAGGCAACGACAAAACGCAACTGCAACAACAACCACAACAACATTAAAAACATTAACAAGAAGAAGAACAACAACAACACCAAGATTAACAGCAGCAAACGCGACGACAACAACAACAACAGCAACAGCAACAGCGACAACGACAACGACAACAACAACATTAACGACAAGAAGAACAACAACAGCAACAACAAGAACAACAGCAAAAGAAAAACAACAGCAACAACAAGAACAAAAATAACAACACCAACAACAAGAAGCAGCACAACAATCAACAGTATCGAAATGCAGCAAATACAGTGCAACTTGAAAGTTTGAAGTGAATGTGACAAATACCATTCTTGAAAATGAGAATTAAAATCCAAAACGTGCAAAATAACAGCCCAAAGCACCTAAATGTAGCAAATACATGCAAATACCGCTAGAAAATTCACAAGCTTTAGGTCGAAACAAATAGCAAAACGTGGCAGAAACCATGCAAAATGAAACCCAAAGCACCAAAATGTAGCAAATGCCCATGGAAAATCATAAGTTTTACGCAGAAACCATGCGACAAACCTGCAAAACACCATACAAATCACACCAGGCACAAAACCCCCAAAAAAATCCAAAAACGTAGAAAAAATCCAAAAACAATTCTGCACCCTGTACTACTCCGCTGAAAGTTTGCATTGCCGATGAAATCCACCTCATTTGCTTAGCAAGCTTGACCTTAGATGTGTTTCTTGAGGATTTGCTCTTACGCGCCAACATTTAACAAACCACCGAATCCCAAACATATGAATGGACTTTAAGACCTAAAGGAAATACAAATAGAAACATGCTAGCATCAGTCCAAAGTACAGACCCAGTAGGATATGCACAGAACGAGATGCACACCGAGGTGGAATTTAGGCCTACATTAGTATAGAGTTTCATGCCAGCCCGGTGGGTGGCTGCAGCCAGGGATGCAAAAGATACCAATTATAGTTTTATAGATGGCTTGGTCAATAGATGGGTGATAATATGATCAATTCAATTCCTGAACGTAACTGTATACCAGGCCACGTTCACTTCGTGTCCCACAGTTTACGCGATGGTGCACGTGTTTTCTTCAAGGAAAATGCCGTTGGAACTTGATCATGTAGAAGCAAAGATGGAAAAGCTCATTGTTTGGATCCACCTCCCAGATTGATATGGCTTACCTTAGCAGAAATCATGGGCATCCAGAAAATTCTATCCATTGCCCATCATTTCCTGCATCCTAAACGTCCAAAAGATTTGGGCTGCTACTTCAGGATTCTAAGAGGCATACCACATATCCCGGTGCTACATCCTTGCCCTTTGGCACCAACAGCTGCACATGTCGATTATAGGAGTGGCATTGTCACTTTTGCCATGGCCTCGGAGCCTTCAGAGAGCCCGTCTTCAAGCCAGGCCATCACCAGCCCAACAGTTGTTGGAAAAGCGTTCTGCCCTGACCTGGGAACACAAGCAGTGCAATAGGTGGGGAAACTAAACTGATTCGAGGTACAACGTAGTATGTATGTATGTAATGTATGTAATGTAAGTAATGTATGTAATGTATGTAATGTATGTAATGTAACATGTATGTTTGTAACGTAACGTAACGTAACGTAACGCAACGTAACGCAACGTAACGTAATGTAATGTATGTATGTGTGTACGTACGTACGTACGTACGTACGTACGTACGTAATGTATGTATGTATGTATGTATGTATGTATGTATGTATGTAATGTAATGTAATGTAATGTAATGTAATGTAATGTATGTATGTAATGTAATGTAATGTCATGTAATGTAATGTAGTGTAATGTAATATAATGTAGTGTAATGTAGTGTAATGTAATGTAATGTAATGTAATGTATGTAATATATGTAATGTATGTAATGTATGTAATGTAATGTAATGTAATGTAATGTAATGTAATGTAATGCATGTATGTATGTGTGTATGTATGTATGTATGTATGTATGCAATGTATGTATGTATGTATGTATGTATGTATGTATGTATGTATGTATGTATGCAATGTATGTATGTATGTATGTATGTATGTAATGTATGTATGCATGCATGCATGTATGTATGTGTGTATGTGTGTATGTGTGTATGTGTGTGTGTGTGTGTCTGTGTGTGTCTGTGTGTGTCTGTGTGTGTATGTGTGTGTATGTGTGTGTATGTGTGGTATGTATGTATGGTATGTGTGGTATGGATGGTATGTGTGCTATGTATGGATGGTATGGATGGTATGTATGGTATGTATGGTATGGATGGTATGGATGGTATGTATGGTATGGATGGTATGGATGGTATGTATGGTATGTATGGTATGTATGGTATGTATGGTATGTATGGTATGTATGGTATGTATGGTATGTATGGTATGTATGTATATTATGGTATGGTATGGTATGGTATGGTATGGTTGTATGTATGTATGTATGTACGTATGTATGTATGGATGTATGTATGTATGTATGATATGTATGATATGTATGGTATTTATGGTATGTATGGTATGTATGGTATGTATGGTATGTATGTTATGTATGTTATGCATGTTTTGCATGTTATGCATGTTATGTATGTAATGTAAGTAATGTATGTAATGTATGTAATATAATGTAATGCAATGCAATGTAATGTAATGTAATGTAATGTAATGTATGTATGCAAATATGTATATATATATATATATGTATGTACGTTCGTATGTATGTATGTATGTATGCATGTATGTATGTATATAATTTATGTAATGTATGTAGTGTATGTAATGTATGTATGTATGTATGTATGTATGCATGCATGCATGCATGTATGTATGTGTGTATGTATGTATGTATGTATGTATGTATGTAATTTATGTAATGTATGTAATTTATCTAATGTATGTAGTGTATGTAATGTATGTATGTATGTATGTATGTATGTATGTATGGATGTATGGATGTATGCATGCATGCATGCATGCATGTATGTATGGTATGTATGTATGTATGTATGTATGTATGTATGTATGTATGTATGTATGTATGTAATGCATGTAATGTATGTAATGTATGTACTGTATGTAATGCATGTATGCATGTATGCATGCATGCATGCATGCATGCTTGCATGTGTGCATGTGTGCATGTATGCATGTATGCATGCATGCATGTATCCTTGTATCCATGTATGCATGTATGCATGCATGTATGTATGTATTTATGTATGTATAGTAAGCCAAAAAAAAAAGGAAACACACATCAACTAGTTTTGAATATGTTTCTTTACTGATCATTATTTCGTTTTTAAATATTTATAGATATACAGTTGTATCGTTTAATGCCTTGCAAGGATCCAAGACCTGCTCCTTTGCAGGTGGGGCAATATGGTGCCTGGCGATGTCTCCATTTAGCTGCGCATCAGGGCTCGCGAGGCACTGCGCACTGCATTTCATGTTGCGCATACTGGTGTGCATATATATATATATTTAAATAAGCATGCATATATATATATTTTTTTTTAATTTATTTATTTAAATAAGCATGCATATATATATATAGAACATTCTACACCAAATCATGCTGGTTGTATACTTTTTGCGTCTTTTTTGCTGATATACATAATATATAGGCACGAAACACCGACAGGGGTTCCAGCAAAGGATGCTGTAGGCGAAGATGCCTTGCTGACGCTGCTGGAGCTGCGTGCTTCTCCAAATCTGGCAGAGACCTCGGGGTCTTCAGCGTTGGGCTTCTGCAGTACCATTAAGGTGGGATGGGGAAAAACAATGACTTTAATATATCTGGGTAAATTATGGTTAATAAGGGAAATCATCCCCAAATGGCCTTAGTTCAGGTTAGTGAAATATGATACTTTACTACTCAGATATGTAATAATGACTCTAGAATTTGAATAATCATAGTATATTGTTAATAGTCTAAAGTGTATAGTAATGAAAAGAGTACTATGACTGGGATTCCAATATGAAAAATTATTGCCAATAATAGCAGTGCACTACTCATAGTACATTACTAATAGCATATTACCAGATATTACCAGTAGCCTTTTACTAACAGTAGATTACTATAGATTACTTACAGCATGTCACCATTGGTATATTACTTTTGGATTGCTTATTGCGCGAATATCTAGTAGTTAAAATAATGGTATTTAGTATTTGTACGTGCTTATAGAACCCATTTATTATATACCAACACTAACTGGAGCATCTCTGGATTAGCAAAAAAAGTGAAAAAAAAACAGTATGTAGTGAAAACCAATCCAGACAATACATGAAATACATGAAAATACTTTTTTCTAATCCAGACAATACATGAAATACATGAAAATACGTTTTTCTAATTATTAGTAACTCCAGTGTTTTGGAGGGTGCTATCCGGAGCCATGGGAATTCATATTCCCATATATTCCCTATTAGTCAAGGGGAGCCAAGGAGCTATACAAACTGAGCTTCCCAGCCAAATGATAAATTTGTAGACAGAACAGGATGTTGATATTGATGGATCATAGATTAGCATGTGACCATCCTCATTTGTGGTTATTACATTAATAGTATATAACATTTTTTTGGACGCGGTAATAGAAGTGATAGTGATGATTTGTCATGAATGATGCATCCACATTGTATCCTCATTTCATCATCATCATCATCATCATCACCATCACCACCACCACCATCATCATCATCATGATCATGATCGTCATGATCATCATCATCATCATCATCATCACGATCGTCATGATCATCGTGGGTCTCAAATCTTTCATTTTTCTCTTCATGCTCGTTACCCTCACCTCCTCGAGCCTCAACATGCCTCAAGCGCTTCCGCCGTCGAGAACGGAACTGTGTATAGATGAGCAGAAAGAAACGCAGGTGCCATGACCAGATGCTCCAGAATTACCTATATTTCTATATACATACATGTGTATATTCTAGATTTGTCAATCTTTTTGTAGATGCATTATATGATTTGTAGATTTCTAGGTAGATGGATAAATGGATAGATGGATAAATGGATAGATGGATAGATAGATAGATAGAGAGAGAGAGAGATAGATAGATAGATAGACTAGATAGACTAGATAGACTAGACTAGACAGATAGCTCGATCGATCGGTTGATATATATATATATAGGTATAAATAATTAATATAAGCGTACGGTAACGACATTTAAATATGTGGAGGGCAGGCCAAACCGCGAGGCCCCGGAGGTAGTATGAAATACCAGTTCGTATATTTAAATGTAGTTACGGTATGTTTAAATGAATTGGATTCCGTATGTTTAAATGGCTGGGCGGGCCAAGGAAAACCTTCCCGGAGGTAGTCTAAAATACCTGTTCGTATATTTCAAAATCCGTATATTTAAATGTAGTTACCGTACAGGCGTATGATTTATGTTACAAGATTTTTGAATTTGGTTATTTTTTCAAATGTGCTCACTGTACATCCGCAAATTGCCCCTAGCAACACCAGGCCGTGGATACGTTGGTGAAGTGGAAGGCCGAGGCCATGAAAATGATGATGGCTGGGGGATGGTTTAGGGTTTAGGTTTCACTACATTTTTCATATGAATGGATCATATTATATATATATAGTAATTGTTGGATCATGATTTGTATTATATTTGGTATGTCTTACCATTTCATGATTTATTAGTGGATTATAATTGGATTTTGCTAGTATATGGATCATCCACTCAGAAGGCCAGTGAATTCAAACTAATCCCCATGATTGATATGCTTTGATCAGTGATTTTGACCGGTGACTTTCCGCCATTTTTTGCTAGTGCTACCATGGTACTTTACCATAGTACTCTGGTACTTGGAAAGCTGTTCACTTGCTACGTTTTGTGGTCAGACCCTGGCATGTGACCAGGTTCTGCACATTTCAACGTTCGCAATTCTCCAGCATCTCAACCAATCAATGATGAGCGATCATAAACATTCGCAGACAAATCCAAGTAATTTCACCTTACTATTTGGATGCCGATTTTCGTTCCTTATTTTTAGACATCCCCATGCATCAACCGCTTCACTACGCCAGCACTGCAGGGTTTGTAAGGGAAATCATTCCACAACGACCAAGCATTTCTGGTTGATGAAAAGTGAGAAAAATGTCAATTCCATACGTAGAATTATACATGTGCATGTGTGTTTTGCTTTGGGTCCCAAATATATACTTTATAGACCCTAATTAATTAACCGGGATATGCTATATTACATCCCAGTTGGGTCTATACATGTGGGGACCCCGAAGGAATAACAAAACTACGTATATACATATATATATACAATGTAAAATTATATATATATATATATACAAACACGTGCTATCCCAAAATATGATCAATCCCCCAACAATTCTGGTAACCAAAACCTTCTAAGACACCGAGCTGCTGATATCTGCTGATGAGAATCGCCGATCACAGGTGAATTACACAACAGCTCCAGCGCAGATGACACCTCTGGGCACTGCAGTGGCCGTGTTGGCGCCCGTCGAGGTGGAAAGAATATGACATGGCGTTGGGGAAAGGCCGTGGACAGTGTGAAGTTTAGCATTAAAGATTTGCAAAAAAGGTTATTGTATTACTGTAATACTTATGTTTATATGTATATGTTTCTTGGGTGTGTACATATATATATATATATATGTTTATATGGATTATATATATATACGTATGTGTGTGTATCCTTCTTTGTGTGCATATATACGTATATACATATGTATATACATAGATATATATTATATACGTCTATACATATTATAGGTATGTATGTGTATATATGTATATGGGTATACCTCCAAGAAATTTGGTTGGGGACTTCAACATGTTTTATTGTGCCTGCGGTGCAAGATGAGGATGCAACATGTTGTTTGTGGGGGAAGGGATTGGAAACAACACCAACTACTTGCTTTTCGCGGTGAAATTTCAGGCGGTTGCTGAAGTTTCAGTTGGTGGATGAGGTGGTTGATGAACTTTGTTGGATATACCTTTGTTTGAAAATCGTTCGCACTGATTCAATGCTGGCTTAATTGGCATGTGGTTGTGTTTAAAAGAAATAGGGTACCCGATTTCACCAGATTATCATTTTTTCTGTGGTAAAATGCAATATTTTGGGATATATCCCATTTTAAGACATATTCAAACATCATATCAGTTTGTTTTTTGGTATTTGTATGATATGCAAATGCATACACATTACTTTGTCCCCTGTATTATCACATTGTAGTTTTAATGATTATAGAAATATTTTTGGTCATACTGGCTAAAAAGGGTGTACTGATTACTTTTAACCTTATCTACTATTTAATAAACAAAAACATTATCCCATTAGTGCTGGTGGTTATACCCCTACCACTCCTTCTACCGGCCCCAGGTGGTGAATCGTTTGTTGGAGGTGAAGGCAGATCCAGTGCACACGGGAGGAGGTCCTGATTGTGGACCCTTGGATGCGCTGCCCTTCATGTCCTTTGGCGAAAAAATGTTGGATTTACTGCATTTACCATCCCAAATTCTGGATTTTGAAGAAAAGATGGAAACATCATTGAATCATCGAACATTTGGGATATTTTACGGACACTATACGAAATACACTGGGTTTTCAGCCCAAAACCATCCAAAACCATCCAAAACCACGATTCAACCAACGCATATCGATGTTCAATGGTTTGATTCAATGGAAGACTATGCAGAACACGATGATTTGGCGCTTACAGATGACCAAACACATGGTTTTTCCTATAACTTGTCCCTTAAACCTATGTTTTGTGTTCAATCTGGTTGCGAAAAGGTTTTGGGGAAGGGCCATGATTGCAATGGACTGGCGGCCAAGAATTTGATGGATGTCATCTCAGGTCCAATGCTGGTGGCCATTCTTTGGAGATCGCCCAGCTGTTGATTGACGCCCGTGCAGACGTGAACAAGTCCAGTCGTCCCAGGGGTTTGCACTACCTCTTCCATCGCGCTTGCCAGAGCTACATGCGATACCTGACCTCCAATCCTCCTGTCAGCATCAAGATTTGTGCTGAGATCACCACCACTCCATTGGGCAAAGCATGTTTCTTGGGTGACCTAAACGGGAGACCCGGGCACCGTCTCGTCTGGAGAACAAAATGAACAACAGTACTTGAATGAGCTGAGTTCAGGGGGGAGAAGAGCCCGATAGGAATTCATGATCTTGTCATCTCAATAGGACTAGGACTTTTCTCTCCACGTTTTCAGCGGAAAGGACAAGTGTAGCAAGCGAAGTCTGCCCTGACTGAACAGGATTTGGATCTCAATCATTCCAGGGAGGTCAGCTGATCCAGCATGCTACTCAGAGCATGTCTTGAGAAGATAACTGAATAATTATGAACACACACACACACGCACACACATATATATATAAACATAATAAAAACATGAAAAAACAGAATTCCCAACTTGAATTTGTGAAGATAGGCTACAGTTGACCGTACTGTCAGGCCCTAATTTCTCAGGCCGATCCTGGTCCCATGGCGGCCCCATGCCAGAAACCGCCCATGAAATGTTTGTTTAATCCACTTTTCACATAAATCACATAAACCAATGTAAAACCCTAAGTGTAACTTCAATGATTTTTGATGATATTCCCAGAAAAATATGTAATACACAAAAGAATGCAACTTTATAATTATTGGCACGGTGCCCAGCTGGCAGTTGACGCTACCCTGACCAGCCCGGTCGGGCGTGACGGCGAAGCCCGCCATGACGCCGCCACGGTCCCCGGCGATGCCCTCCAGCGCGCCACTGCCCGAAAGCGCACCACCACCTACCCTGAGTTTGCCCAAAACAGGCGGTGCCGGCTGGTGGTTGTCGCGATGGAAACAGGCGGCCGTTGGGGCTCCGAGGCGGTCGACCTTGTGCGCGCCCTCGCGCACGCCAAAGCCCGGGGCACCCCCCCGTGGCTGCGGCCCACGACCGTTGGGGCGTACATCCACCGATGGGCCGCCCTCCTCGGCATCGCCACCCAGCGCGCCTTCGCGGCGTCGTTCCTCGATCCCCTTCTCCCCGCCCTCGACACCGTCGATGGGCCCCCGCCCTCGTTTCACGATCTGGTGGCGGAAATCCGCTACACCGATCCCCCTTCCCCCAGCCGACTCCCCCCAACACGGGGGGGGTAGCGGTCTCACGCGCAGAAACTTGTGCGGGTTGTAAAAAAAATATTAGTTATAACTACTGCAACATATTATGTGTAATTATGTATGCCCATAATTGGGATTAAAGACCCGGTGAGGAAACCCACGCGACCCACATGCCGAGGTTTGTTTGGTCGTAGCGACTTGGTTGACTTTCTGCTTGCCGCGCGAGCAGATCCTTACATCAGGACAGGCATGGGATGTGTCACGTGTAATGGGATAGAACATAGGATGGTTCTGTGAGAAATAGTGAAACTAGTTGGTTAAATCATGTCGATCTGGTGCATGAATGTGACCTGATGCGAATATAATTCCTACAATTCCAGACAATTACAAACCTCCATATTATATAGTTCTATAACATACATAATTGAATTTAAATTAAGAAAATAAATCCCCATGAAACTTACAGGCAGGACTGGTTGCTGTGTGCTCAGGAACACACAAGGGCACACCGCCTGGGATTTGACCAGCAACGCGGACGTCTTGCAAGCGCTGGAGAAGCATGCTGATTCCATGAATACCATCTCCATCTGAAAAATGCCAAAACCTCAATCAAGTGGAAGGGCAATTAATAAAGGGCACCTAACTAATGAGCTAATTCGAATTCAATCCTGGAAATGAACAAAAAAGGCAAAACATAACAAAAACCATAGATGAGCCCCTCTGTGACATATACTTCCGCCGTCGTCCAACTTCCTCCACTCTGATTTTTCGACAGGATTGTTGGAACGCCATGCCATTTTGTCATCATGAGATGCTGCTTTTCAGAGCTGTTTTTTTCGGAGGGTGTTGGTGATGTGTTCGGCGTTCCACCACGGCACTGATTCATTCAGCACGAAGAATGAAGCGCCTCCTTCTGTTCGCTGGCACCAAGTGCTCAGCATTGTCCACAGAACGAGACGGTGCTGGAAGCACCAATCGCTTGGGCATGGAACATGCCCTGCCTGGCACTGTGAGGACCAGTTGCAACTTCTAGCAGTTGTATGACACACGGGTTTTGAGATATGGATGATACAACGGTTTTACAAGTAGAACGTGGAACGTTTTTGCAAACAGAGAACTTTTATGTATCCATATCTAGATTATGCGTATACATGTGAATATAAAGAAGTAATGTATATACATATATATGATATACACACATTTATGTTGATACAATTTTTGATGCATACATATATGCACGTCGGTGTGTATATTTATTTACTATATATACACATGTATAATCATTACATATGTGTATCTTTAAATATAACTCAAAGTTGGGTTAGTTCAAAGTTTTTCTGTTTTTTTACCATAAATTGGAGTGTGTGCGAATATGGTACTCAGATAGACTAGACGTTACAATAATATCGCACAAAAAAAAATGCAACTAAACTTGAAATGGATGGTGCAACTTGAGTCCAGCCGCTTATCCCTGGGCGAGTTTGCTAGCTCATGGGCTTCTGTGGCCACTGCGGTGTTCCATTTGACATCGACATACATCGACAATCGTTCTCCATTAGCCCGAACGGTGATGGCAGACGGGACATGACCGTAATATATTTAGATATATTTAGTGAGGACAGCATAGTTTTTTGCCGCAAACAGGTATTCAGGCCCCATTTCTGTCCGAAAAGATGGGTCCTTCAGGTGTGACGACCTTGAACAACTCCTTGGGGTTTGGGCCTTGGACTATCTTGGAACGAATCCCAAGCCTGTTCAAGCCCACTCCAAACGGGCCCCAAATGAAGAGAGCGAAACACCAAACCGGGTGTCTAAGAGGATGTTTTTGTTAAGGGGTAAGGGATTACCTGCATCCAGTTCATCCATGTCCATCAAACGTGGTCCGAGAGACTTTTCGCCACCACCAGCCCTCCAGTTTGCGCCGTCCCATGAAATTAAGGGATGAAGTCGCCGGGGGATTTTTGTTCGGGGAGACTTTTTTGGTGATTGCTACCAGGAGCTCAGGAGGTCCAACGAAAAGATTGAACCTCTCCCACTCTTGCAGTGCAATACGTCCCAAGCGGATCCGCTATCGTTTTGTTTACGATGTTCATAGGATGCACCTGTGTGTGTCCAAGAACAGAGACCCCCAAGATACCGTGGTTGGAGATAATTTACCATTATCACAAATTATAGAACCCTCTGCAAATGTATTGCAATTTCACTGGTGTTTTTGGACTAACTCACCTGCGAGTATTCAGTGCCAAGTTTTAACATGTTTAACGCAGGCTTGGGACTTTGGCGCCCTCTTTTCTTTCTCATGTGTGAATCAACAGTTGGGTGGGTTGCAGCAATGAACTTTCTCAGCCCAGGGCCCAAGTCTTGCTAGAGTAGAGATCAAACAAGTGTCCGTTGTGGCAGGTTGCGCAAGGGACAACCATGAGGCCATGTCACGGGATTTGATGGGTTTTTTTTGGCAAACCAGATGACATGATAACCTCTGGTAATTTAACATAGCTATTGAAAATGGCCATTTATAGTGGATTTACCCATTGAAAATGGAGATTTTCCATAGTTATGTTAGTTTACCAGAGGGTAACAGTCCAGTGGTTGTTCTTGATCTTCCTGAACGCTTTATTCATTTAGACGGGGCATGATTTCCCTTTCCCTACGAATCAGATTTGCAGGGAGCACAGAAATCACCCAGCTGAGCGGTTTATGTTGGGGGCTGAATGTACCCTTTGGCTATCCAGCCTGACACTGAAAGATCACCATTCTTCATAGGCAGCAATTCATCTAGAAATGGGTGATGTTAGTGATGTTCCACCACCATGTTTGACCATCTGCAGCTGTTAAGACAAAGCCAAAAATGCACAGTGCTGAGGCAAAGTTCTTGGAGGACCGTGGCTACACCAGAGCACAGCTGCAGGAAAATGTGGATCTGTTAGGGTATCTCGGCCCAGCAGCCAGAAACCATGCCTCAAAAGGGATGCATTTTACACCAGTCAGCCGCCAGCCTATATGATCCCACTTGGCTTTTCCTCTAAAGGATAGGGTAAACCGGGGTGTCCCAAAACTCTCTGATGAAGAACTCGATGAAGTAATTCTTCGTCTGGTTGTACATCATTCAGCACCATGATGGATCGCTCCTACTTGTTGTATGAAACTGATGGCATCATTTGCAAGCTGGTTGTACGCACAATCAAGAAAACTGCCTTTCTAATGGAGTAATTTTTCGTTCAGTTCTACATTTGGTTGCTTGTGCAGCGATTTCTTAAGGAGCGTATCAGACCCCCAAGCCTGGTGGTTTATCATTCCGATGACCTGGGATCAAGGGTGATGACCTGCAGAACTGCTTTTGGTGTTGTTTTTATGAGTTGCAATCGCAAACCAGCTGCAGATAGCTATAGTCCATTATGGTTCATGAATAGCAAAAGCAAGTGGGTAACAACCTCTTATATCTCCATCACCAGGCCGAAATATCTAGTGCATCCAACCGTTCCTGAATTTTGGCATCTAAGCCTCCATGTGTGTAAATTCAACACTTTTGGTGCCGCACCAGCTATCACCCCCTTCAGGTATTCCTTTGATGCTCGGATCTTTCCTCGCAGCCGCTTTCTGGACAAATTGGGCTTGAAGTCCAAAGACTGCCCTTTACAGATCCTGGCTGCAGCAGAGGATCGGTGAAGATTCTGGATGCAATTTGTTGGCCATGTGAAAGTTTCCAAACTGATCCAAAGTGCCGAAAGTCTCATGTAACCCAACCTATATGGCAACCTATGCATCTTACCCATCTTACCCATCTTACCCATCTTACCTGGTCCTTCCAGCTCTCCACAGGACAAGAGGTTTTGCCAGACCTTGGGCGTGAAGCTGGAGATCTACCTGGATTTCATGTTTGAGCTGCGCAGGTCGCAGCGGCAAAAAGATCGCAGACAGCAGCTGTGATGGCCTCTGCAAATCCAATGGAAAGTGCCATATAATATCATAATATATATATATATATATCGTTATATAGAACACACACATATATATATATATGCATATGTATTTATATCATTATATATATATATATATATACATAGAATATCCACTTATAGGCATAGATGAGTTTTCCCGTGAAAGAAGGACATGTTTTTCCCATTGCTATGTTTGCTTACCGATGGGAAATTGCGTTTAGTTTAAGTGGCACCATCCATCCTCCCCCAAGGCTGTTCAGTCGTGATGTACCAGTCGCTGTTAGCCGAGCCCCTTGGCTACGCCGAAATTACCCATTCGTGGCAGGGTCTTTAGCAATAATGGGAATGAATGATATTACAATTCTGATTTATGTTAATCAACAAATGCTGGAGATATGACGCAAAGAAAAACAGCGAAGATGTTGCAACCGCAGAGCAAATCACCTAAAATAAGTTTAGTGATGATTTAAAAAACAAAGCAGATTTCTTGCAACAGCAGCATTTTCTTGATTATTTGAATGTAGCATTTTGGTTCACTCTGACTTTAATGCTGCATAGATCTTCAAGTCTGTCAGTCCTTCAGTCCGGAAAAAAAAAGGAGGTTTCCCCAGTGGATCATCATTTCATGGACAAGGGCACCTTGAAATAACAACCAGGTTTAGACGGTGCCATGGGATGCCTTTTCGGCGTAAATCAGATTTTGCGAATGGTCCATTTGGAATCAGGAAACAGATGCCCTTGTGACTCATAGAATTGGATGATGGGACAATTTACAGGAAACCCCTATATTTGATGGTAAAAACAATGGTTTCCTGTAGATTTTCCCTTAAAACCAATCCATTGAGTGACCCGATTTTGGTTTGCAGCTTGTCTGCTCCAAGGCTCCAGCTATGCTTTGTCCAAAGGGGAGTCCCGCTGAGGCCAAGAGATTTGGGGTGGGCAAAGTATAGGGACCTCACAGCGCACCAAAAATGATTAGTATAACGGTTAGTAGTTAATAGTAGTTAATTAGTGTGGGGTCTTCCTAATCATAGTTTATTCACATTTATTCACCTCATTGCTTATTTGGTATTGAATAATACTTGCCATGGAAGAGAAGATAATCATAGTCAATTGCCCAGATGGAAGCCTTCAATGGTGCTTGGACTTGAATCTACCAATGTGTTCCCAAAGGATGTTGATTATGCAGAGGTTGTCCCCAATTACTGTGGGTTGGCCCGATTGTTTTACACATTTATTTCTTCCGAGTACGTGATGAGCTGCCAGCCATCAGCAATGTTGGTCCCAGAGCTGTTCTGACTGGATGCCGGAATGTTTGATGTTGTGGAGTGATGGCCAATTATTAGTTACAACTGGTTATTTCTATGGGATTGTACATTCTATAAATGGGGTTTTCTTAGTACTTGTAACTGGTATTTGGGGCCATAACTTTGGAGATTCATTCGTACATAGTGAGATGTGCGCTGGGCAAACCTTGGTTAAAACCTTGGTTGGGCGGGGGGGGTCCTCTGAGATCAGCCGACCCAAGATTGATGGGCTGCCCCTGTAAGTTTGAGAAATTTCATATAATTTCATTGCTTGGGTAAAAGCTCTTTGCTGTCAACCTTCAGATTTTTACAATTATTATGATACACAGATTTTTACAATTATTGTGATACACAGATTTTTACAATTGTTATGATACATACACTTAGTGTTATGATACATACAGTTACTTGGTGATCTTGGTGAGGAAGGCTGTGACATTCACATCATTCGAAGATGTTTGGGGCACAATTTTCATCTGGAGAAATGACGGCGATCAGATGCTGTCAGGCTGCAGCCAGTTCTTCGCTTGAGAGCCTTGTTCATCCACCAGGGGGTGGGACAGGTGCGGACTGTGGTATCACCAACTGGTAGGCTTTGAATATAATATGATTATATTTTGATGATACATGATCATATATTTAAAAAAAAACATATAATAATCATATGTTTACATTCTCGTGTTTGGAAATATCAACCAAGATCTGCGGTAATTAATCAATTGCACTCTATCGTCGCAATGTCCATGGTAGAATCCCATCAGCATCATGCGCATCTCCTTCGCCGCCCTTTGCCGCAGGGGGGGTCGCTGCCCGTAGATCAGCAGCAAAGACTGCAGGGCGCATCAGGGCCCCTGGGCGTTACGCCACACCGGCCACCATGGATGTGTGGAGCATTGAAATGCTGGTGGGCACGGCGCCAACCCGTCTCAAGCCAGAACTTTGGACCAAAGACGCTTCTGATATCTTCTGATTTGATTGACCATGATTGATCCAATAGATCCAATAGAATGTTTGGTTAGTTTGGTTGTGATCTATCTATCTATGATTCATATGATGATGCCATGTTTGATCAGTGATGGATTGATGCTTTGAGGATGGATTCTTTAGACATGTTGTTCCCGCCCCGCGCCCATCCGCGCCCTAGGAGTGCTTGGACGTCCCTGAGTTGCTACCAGGCTCTCCCGAGGCGAAGAGCCATCACGAGGCGGAAGATGGTGAGATGAACAGTCACTGGGCGGAAAGATGGGTGAATGGCTGGTGAATGGTAATATATATATATGTATATATATATTATATAGAGTTAGTTCATGTTATGTTCCTTTGTTTTGTTGATTGATGTTGATTGATGTTGATTGATGTTGATTCTAGAAAGCCATTTTATGCCATACCACTTTGATGAGAATCATAGGTCATACCGGTCGCACGTCTCAAGGGTACTGGTATCTAACCCCTTGTCTTGACGGATCTTTGCGGGAGACAGCAGAGAATGCCAAAAATATATGAGAGACGATAGAATTTATATGTACATTAGCGTGCGCACGTACGCAAACATATACACACAGGAACGGAGAATTCAGAGTTAACTGCATTAACTGTTCGGGAATCTACTGGTACCTATGAAAAATGATATATCAAATGCATGCTATTTACTATTTACATTATTTCTCCAATTGTGTACTGTATACTTTACGTATATTACATCTGATGTGTTTCCATATGGAGATGAAACCAATGAGGATGAATCTGGATCGTACATTATCGTACATTATCGTAGGATACTATCAGCAACAAATCTTCTTTGGAGAATTTTACATATTTTTGCCCCCCTGAAGACCCCAAAATTGCCGCTGTCAGGTGCGCCAAGGTGGAGCTGTCAGCTGTGAAACGTTTTCGCCATAAAGTTTGGGAGGATATACCAATATAACATGATATAACATGATATAACATGATATAACCCTACATGGACCTTACATAGTCCTTAATTAGCTCCAATTTAACATGCCACCTGTATTTGCCCCATATTTGCCGTTGATAGAAGAAAGGTGGACAGTTCTCGTTTGCAAAATAGCCCCTTGTTGCGATCTTTGGGTTGTCTAATCCCCTGGGGGAAGGGGGGTGCCACAAACAAGTTGAGGTTATGAGACGGTTTTGAATTTGGCAAACACCATGATGGGCGTCTGGGCTTGTCCGTTGACAGCTGGGTGGGTTCAATAAAGTGGGATCGGTAAGCCCCGAAGTCACCGGCAACATGCATAGGGCAACTAGTCCAGCCTTGCTGATTGGTGACTTCCTTTTTTGGGGGTAACCAACTCTGAAAATGGGAACGACTCCGCCAAATGGACTTTTCATGTTTTTTTTTTTAATGCTGGTTACATCCCCATTTCCGTGGCTCAGGTAGTGGTGTCCTGGCGGTCCCCTATGCCTTTGGCCTGATCAACTACTGGGCCGTGCTGCTGTTGTTTGTGGTGGTGGGCCTTACAGCCTTTACGGCATGCCTCATAGGAGACCTGGGCTGGGGTAGACGTTGAAGTGGTTGGGAAAGCAAGGGAAAACACCACATTCACATAGGTTCAAACTTAGAAGATCTTGGAAACTCTCAGAAGACATGCGCATGGAACAGTAAAAACAATGTAAGACATATGGTTCCTACATGTTTGTTCTTGAAATCAACTCGATCCTGTGTCAAATGTGTTGGGAAGAACCCCTGGCCATTGCTGTCGTGAGACCTCAGCCGCAACAGCATACGACCAGATGTCTGCAGGATTGACCACAGAAGCATCTCAAATCAGGGGCCCACAGAGTTGTAATCCTTTTCATTCGTATTTTCATGTTTTCCTTATCGGCCCCCAGCATGGAAAAAAAAACTCTTCGTGATGACATACGGTAGATCCAAGATGATCCAAGACTGAATTATCCAAGACTGAGTTATGTTTTCTTGGGTGGTATTCAATGTTAAAGGCTGCGGGATTCTTTGGGTATGAGTCAACATCATGCACCTCAATTAACTTATACAACTGTTAATACCAACAGTTGCCAAAATCTGTGTTTCCTTGTCTCTTAATCTTTGCCCCCATATCCACATTGTCAAAACACCTTGCCCAGGAGAGAAGTTAAAGATGGCCAGATCCAAGGCTTTGGGCGGTTCACATCCCATCAGCAGAGACTACACCTACCTGGCAGAGATTTCATATGGCCAATGTGGGAAATGCGCCTTGACCTGCAGCTGCATCCCCGGTACAAATGAGTAGAGGTGTATGCAAACAGTATGCCGCACCTTGACATAGACATATTTTTTGCGCATTTGCATTTGATTTGTTGTGCCAATGTATTCAATGTATATATATATATATATATGCATGTGGCTCTATGTGGATACATGTTGATTGTCAGCACAACCTTAGCCCACAACTTGAACATTGTCCTTGTTGCCACCAAGGCGTGGTTGCGGTGATTACCGTTCTGGAGGTCTGGGTTGCTGCTGTGACCTTTTTGGTGATGAATGGGAGCAACATTCAGGGCTTGCTTGGCGTGAACGAAATTCAAGCCGTCCTGGCTTCTTGACATACACCTGCAGAGACTTGGGTTGGCCATGGTTGGCCCTTGAAGCCCTTGCACAAAAATCTAGCTGTTGGGGATTGTGATCTGCTGAGTGTAGTTGTTCCAAGATTACCCAAGATGCCTGTGCCTGCGTGATATTCTGATGGTACTAAGAGTATCTCATCACGGGCTGGATGAGGTAAGGGACTTGTCTTCTTGTCAGGAAGATGCTGGTGCTGTGTTGACTCAACATGCGCCCAGTTTGCTCCCGCACTAGAAGACGAAGCATTACCAATCATGCAAGTATTGAAAGTCACCAGCTGTGCTTGATGGGACTCAATATGATTCAATGGTGACTGATGGTGACTGAATGGGATTTCATGGGCTCTGGATCTCCTTGTTTGCCCTTTCTGGCTAAAAACCGAGCTCGGCCCGGGATGGTCCCTGCCGTTTCAAGGTGTGCACCTTGGTGTCCAGCGTCATGATCTTCATCCCCTTACGCAGCTGGGACAATGGCTGATTTCATGGGGAAAATGAAGAGCAATACCCCAATGTTCAGATTACCCTCTGGTAAACATACAAAAAGCTATGGAAAGATCCACCATTTTGAATGGGAAAACTCACTATTTCTATGACCATTTTCAATAGTAAACTGTTAGTTTACCAGAGGGTATTTTCAGGCAAACCATGGCAAACCCATAGATCACCACGTTTTTGCTGTGAATTTTTCTTGGTGCCAAGAGGAATGCTGGCTTGGCAAAAAGCAGGGCTATCATGTGGAATTCACATCCACCATTTCACCAACATTTGGCGGGGGAACATCATCTCAAGTTTGGGGGTCTACACAATAAACCAATTAATTGGTGATGGTTCAAATCCCATAAATTTCTGCTAAAGCTTGGGATGTGTTTTCATTTTCTAAAAGATATTTCAATTATACCGTATACCCCATGGCTAAGCCCAGGACTCTGCCCTGCCTGAGGCATCTATGCCTATGTGTCTCTAGCATCTTTGGTCGCCCTACTGATGGCCAGCATGTGCTTCTTAGGCTGGGTCATCCCCTTGATTAAGCCCGGTCCAGCATCAAAAATTGATGGTTTAACACGGTTTCACTTGCTTTAATCATCCTGAAATGAGGATAGTTGTTGCGTGGCAGGGGACCTGTCTACCATCAGCACTGCCAAGTGGAGCTATCCGGAACTGCAACTGGAGCCCAACGTGGGGAATTTCTTCAGATCCTTTGCAGCCTTAGCAGCCTTGGGGCATTTGTTGGATCGTTTGGATTTGAATTTGGAGACATTTGGAGCAGTTTTTATTGTTTCAGGTGATGCCTCGAAAATCCAGAGCCTAACCCCGAGCAGGATGTCATCAGAGTAGATTAGCATGTTTGAGACCCCCTAGACCAGAGCAGTCAAATCAGATCATGCCGAGTATGGTGGGAGCACCTATGCCTAATGGCTTGCATTGCCCACAACTCCACATGCACCACGGTATACCACGGTAGACACGCCTCGCTGGTTCTTCGGGGTTTCCTTTCTGAGGGGCCTATGGTCTCTTCATTTTCTGCTTCGCTGGTCATCCATGTTTGCCAGCCTTGCATGAGGGGATGCAGCACACCGAGCGGTGGACAGGTTGGGGGCGATTCCGCAAAAAACAAACAAAGTCCGTACTTGTGATTGATTTAATTAACGGTTGGTGATTCAACATGGTTCACCTTGAGGATGTGAAAAGACAACTGAAGGTGCTTGGGGCTTGGGAGGGGCCAAAGATGTCAGACTTCCCTCTACTTTTCAAGATGCCCATGCTTCCACCTGTTTGGACAGTCTACCTGTCCAGTCTTATTGTTCACATCCCTCATTCTTACATCTGTTTGCGATTCACGGAGCATTTACCCATTGTACATATACATACACATGGACAATATAATTATACAATATTATACACATACCCAATAAAATGTCACAGAACATATATTTATATAATTTAATTATATAGATATATTATAGATATATATATATATATAGATGTATGTATATTACATATATAATGTACACATATTCAACCTTATACTTACATGTATACTGTATACCAAGTACATATCTGGCCCCGTCACAGCCCTTTGACGGAGGCTGTGTTTCTTGGTCCTTTACCATCGCGGCGGTGTACTACCTGGTCTTGGGACTGGTGACCTACCTGGCCCATGGCAGCTTGGCAGAAAATAGGCTGAAGGAAACTAGGATCATGCACTGCACAACTGTTGATCCAGTCTGGTCTAGGAGCCATGAAGATGTTTCACACCATTGACACACAGTTGGACCACATGGCCTCTATATTCAGGTGATGATTTGCACCCAGTCTTCACCAAAGACATGAGCAACTTGGCACCAGATGCGGAAATTGTGTTGCGGGGAAGATTGACCACTACAATTAGCACAGGCCCACATGGGGTCACAATCACGAAAGGTTAAGAAAGATATCTTGATGATATCCTGTTCAACCCTGCTGGTTTTCCTGTTCACCCCGGCCTGAATCAATCGGCCAGTGAGATGTCAAGTATCGATAAGTATCGCACGGATGGCGAGGCTGGCCACTTAGTCTTCCCACATTATGTCATACTTTGATATGTTCATCGCCAGAGATGCCAGGTATTCCGTGGTTGAAACACACGACCGCTGCCTTCTTTGCCGTGAAAATCCAATTGACCACACCTGTTCCCTGGCACTATTGCCGCTCATGCGGTCAAGAGTCGACCCTTTTTGATCCTGAGGCACAAGAAGTCAGAGACAGATCATGTGCTATTCATCCTTGATGGTTCCAATATAATAAATAACATAATTATATAATATATATATATATAATATATATAATATATATATAATATATATATAATATATATATAATATATATATAATATATATACAATACATATATATATATATATATGTTTCAAACTGGTTTTGTTCTGTTCCATCTCAAACACTGGGCTGATGCTAGAACCGCTATGAACCGCTCCCCTGACTCGCAAGGTTCTGATGCGTGTGGTGCTTCAATCTATGCAGATTTGGCCAGAAGGGCGGCATGTCAACGAGTTCATCCAGAATTCCTTGCCAGTGCCTGGGTGTTCAATATACTAACCTGCTGGCGAATGGTTGTCTTCCCAATGGTTCATGGGGCATTGCTTTCATCATGTGTCATAACGCGTTTGTTGGCCCAATCACGGAAGCAGCAAAAATGATCAGACCCTAGAAGCTTTTAAGTCGTTTGTGTTTTTTCTTCGTTATGGTTCCTCTCAAAATGGGAAATTGCCCTACGATCGGTAATAGAAAAATCGAGTTTATATGGATTCTTATGCTATTGGACGGTTGGACACCTGAACTTTGCAGAAAGCTTCCAGCAGTTTGCCTTAAAGCTGGAAATTTACAGCTTTGCCCTGCAAGAAACTGACATGAATTTTCCAGCGGTAGGTCTTCCATGTCCAAGCCCACTTCTAGCAGCGCATCACAGGTGGCATTGGTGATACTTCTCACCGGCACCAGTGCTTGTTGCTTGGTGGAGATGGGTAGAAGTTGGAGGTGGTAGAGGCAAACAGAAATTCAGCCCATGCCGAGGTTTTCTGGCTGGTGAGGTGGCTGCCCTTGCCTCCTTCGTGGGTGCTTTATTGGTGAACCTCACCTCCATCGTGATCCCCTGCGTGGCTGGGCCGAACCGGCGAAGATGCCCAGGGTGGTGAGTCAAGCTCCCAGTGGTTACCCTAATAGTCAATTATTGCAAAATCAATCCATTGACCCCTATGGTAATATATGGTAATTAATGCACCCCGTATCTCCCAGTATACGGTATACTGAGTTAATCTGACAGTTTGGCAGATTAGTGATGGAACTATCACACCCAGCGAACTTTCGCAGGGTAGCTAAGCAGATCTAAGCAACACTTCTCCAGCACTGCAGCTCCAAGGTGATGTACGCACGCCTGTCCGTGTGGTCACAGCAGCCGGGCAAGAACAAGGTGAAGCTGGTGATGTGTGGCGTTTTGGTCGTTTTCGGCCTCGTCACCGCCGTTGCAGGTGGGCTAAAAGCACAACCATGTAAGCAAACTCCATGGGATAGCCTCACAGCCAAGATCCATTCCAATGATGGCTAAACGCATGCCTCTTCATAGAAACATTCGGATAGAAAGATAGATAGATAGATTACTAGATTACTAGATTACATAGATATAACAAATGAGTGAATTTGAGGCAAGACTAAGACATGAATTCTTGGGTAAGGATCTCTGTGCATGTTCGTGACATTGATATTCATGTCGTTCCCCTTGGCGCCAGGAACCTACTTAGCAGTGCTGGATATGACTCACTGATAGTAAGCCCTCGGAATTCAATCGATCGCACAAGAATCAGCTGAACGTTGGCTGATACTCTTGGTGGATCCAGCGCCGTGTCCATTGACAGGGTGTTTAATACTGAATACTGCAATTCTTACCTGGGCTTGGAGTGATGCCTAAATTCCTGCTTACATAATCTATTATCTTACGTGTAGCTCTTCTTATTACTTCTTACTGTATTCATCGATATTCTTCCACTGGTCTATGACTTGGGCTGTCCATATCATCCCATACCTGGGCACATTCATAGAATCCCGCAGTCAAAATCGGCTGCTGCAAGACCAAACTTTAGCGATGCCATCGGCCTTCCAACCAGCCTGGGATGGGCCTGGGTTGAGCTGGCCCAAGTACCTGGCTTCGCAAAGCCAAAGTCAGTTGGTTTTGCAAATCTCAAATACATTTCTTTCCTAGAAAATGCATACAAATGCTTGCAAGACAGCAGCTCTTGAGAGAGATGTGGCAAAAGATCGACAGGGACTCTGGCACAACTGGATATGTTTGCAAAAGTTGGGTTTTCCTGTTTTTCTGTGGATCTGTGTTTCTCTTCAATGTCGCTTGCTAAATTATATTGGGAAGAACTGGCATCCAGAAACTCCATGTTTGACTAGTGGAAGCTGATCATTCTCGCGTTTGCTCTTGGCCTTGGATCCCGAGGAAGAAACAGCCCGTGGATTCGCGCGTCGCATCGGTGATGAGAACATCCGAAGCAACGATTTCTGTGCCAAGGATAAAGGGTTGGAGAATGGTGGAGAGCAACGCTGGATCACTCGATATCACTAGATATGACTATAGATATCACTACAGATATCACTATAGGTTCTATAGCTATCACTATAGATATCACTAGTGTCCAACTGGTTTCAAAGTGTTTTCACTTCCCAAGTTGCTTGAAGTCTGACGTTTGGCACCTGGGAGGGGCCATGCATCATCTACCCGAACAGTCAGCATCTCCCAGGACGATGATGTGGATGTCAGCGGATTGATTAGTTGATTGAGTTGTTCACTGGATTGGTTTGTTGGGGAAAATCTTAACCGGAAACCCATGGGTTTTTACCATCAAATAATATAGGGCTTTCCGGTTTCAATTTTCCCATAATCCAATTCTATGAGTTGTGGTTCAGGGTAAAATGTTGAAGAAACATCAGGGACATCAATGGATGTGGAAGGATGGCAGGAAGCTGGCAATTTTCTGTAGCATTTTTTGTTGCTGGGAATCTTCAGCAAGGTCAGTGGATGGGAATATATTCAACATCAATGATGTATAATCCATAAATGATCATAAATGGGGGTTCAATGTTCAACATGGATTAAACATGATTTAGATATCAGTACATGCGGATATCACACCGTAAATGATGCGCTAAATGATGTTAAACAGAACCATTCCGGCTTTCCATGTTCAACATGACATCTGTGCATGATCCAACATGATTTAACTATCAATAGATCGGGATTGATTTGTATGGTGTGGAAGAGCCAAAGCTGTTGTGTTGAAAGAGCGTTCCCCCTGCAGGTATAATTATGACTTATAAAACGAAGCAGGGTGTGATTATTTGTTGCTTACGTCTTTAGATGTTGCATGGAAGATGGTGCTGCTACTGAAACTGCTGAAAGTCATGAGATGTGTTTTTCTTTGGCGCACAATTTCCAGGGTGTGATAAGAATGGCAAGCACGGGCCTACGGATTTTCAATCCGTGGCCATCCCATTTTTGCACCTCTCAGCCATTTACAGCCTCAAAGCGCGTGTTGGTTATAGCTATAATTGCTTTAGAAGACTTATGAAATCGACGATCTTGGCACTATGCCTTGCCAATTCTGTACTCCTTGTGGCAGCTGATGAGAGGGCAGCTGGAACTTTATCGGAGATGTTGGCCAAAATCCGCTCTGAGGAGTTTGAGAACAACTTTTTTGTGGGAGATGCCTTTCTGGAGAAACCCACGCCTGGAAAGGAATCAGCAGCAGGATGTATACTGGACAAGGCTTGTGGTCAGTGATGCATGAGATTCACCTGATGGCAGGAAGCGACTCTTCCTGATTGTTGTATTTGTTTAGAAAATTGCTTCCGTTGCTTCTCAATCTTGCACATGTTGGAAAGCATGCAATATTTGATTAGATAGTGTGTATATATATATACACATTTTTTTATCCCTCCGGCCCCTGAAGCATTCATAACTCACTTTTTGGCCTTGCAAAACAGGTGGTTGCCATCGTCAAAGAGAACGCTATGACGGACTCTGCGACTGTGAATGAGCTTCAGGTGGATTTGGCCGCCTGCTGCACTCACGACTCCCAGGACACGGCGCGAGCGCCGTGGTGATCCTGATTTTGGGACCCAAAGTGAGAGAAAGTCACTGGAATTGTATGGTTACACATTTCATCCGCTTATATTTGGTATCCTCTGAGAAAAAATTCCCTCATGCCAGTATATGAGTGTTTTTTGGGTATGTATCAAGCTCATTGAAGATACCCAAGCATTGGGTGGTGGATGGCACAAGAGAATAGTTCCCAGGGCCAGCGGCTAGGTCCATGATGTGGAATGTGGCTTTCCTGCAGGCGATCAGTTGAACTGATGTTTGGACCCAGTCATATCCAGTTCGCCTCCTACTGTACTGTACAGCCTCGAAAATCCATCAAAGTGCAGAAGAGAGAATCTAGAAATGGCCCAACCAACATTATGTTCCAAGCAGAAAAACATATCAAAGATTAAGATAGAAAATATTAGACATGGCATGAAATAGCATGATATAAGTTCTGTTTTGGTTCTGCACCATGTTGAAATGCCAGGCTCTCGGCCAGGACTGTGTTGCAGATGTGTCCTCGGCATATGCGTTGCTGGAGGCGGTCAACAGACAGCAGCTGGACGCCCAAACCACAGCCCCCAAGGTCGCGGCGATGCTGATCCGGGCAGTGGAAAAGCGAAGCTCCGAGGAGAAAATCCGAGGCTCGTTCTCCAGAGGTCACACCAGTTTTGATTTTTTAAATATGTTTATGATTGTTTTCCTAGATTTTCCGTCAGATGATTATGATACAAAACGATCATGTATTTGTTCAAGGGAGACTTGTTGTTAGCGCTGGAAACATGCAAAGTCTCAAGATGTTTTAAGTCACATATATATATAATATTATGTAATATGTATATATAATTATTTGCATTATGCATATGGATTCTTTATCATTTTAAAGCAAACAATTGCTCTTTCGGGCTCGCGTTTTTTTTCCCCTATTTGGCATGTGTTTGTATCCTGACTCCGGGATGCTACAAAAATGCAGACAAACAATGATTCGGTGATTATGTTTTCAGACTAGTCTCCAAAACCAGTTGTTCTTTTTTCGAAGGATTCATCTTGATTTATCCTTATTGATTTTGCTTAAAAAGGTGTGATGTGTGTTGATTTAGGATATGTTTATGCATTTTTCACAAGACAAGCCATGTCCCCTCGGATTTGCCTGTTCAAGCAAATCCGCCCTTCAAGATGCACGCAACCCCCCCAAAAAAAAACAAATCCTTGGCATTCAGAAATGTGGTATTCTGTGAAGAGATAGGCCCTTCAGATTTGGAAAAAAACACATACTTTTTGAAGACATATGTTACTTGCAAACTAAGCAGCATGCAACATGTCCATTCAGAAATTAGTTCAAAGTAGTGAGTAGTTCTCGTTTCACTATTCTGTCCATTAAACAATTATTTACTTTGGTGATGGGTAAATTCAAAGAAGCGAACTGGTTCCCTTCAAAAAGTATATAAGTAGTTTTCTCGCTGCATAGTTTAAGAAGGAATTCTGCAGCACTCACTATCACAGCCGACTTCCCAGCTGAGGAGAAACCCACAGGCACTTCTTCGGAAAATGTAAAGATGTAGACGAGTGTACAATGAAGGCACTTTTTGTAGAATCTACAGAGCTTTGAGGTTCGTGGAAGCGTTGCTGCGCTGATGCGCCAGATGGAATGTCTTGAAATAGATCGGGCAGATGTCATCAGCAGGGGGTTGAAATGTCATGGTTGATATGTTTGAATGCTTATCCTGAACAGTTGCGGCCACATTAGTTGATGATTTTAGAAACAAAACATAGCATAAGATGATTTTGGACATTTACCGGCAACAATTCCCAGCAGAGTCACCAAAAGGAGAGGACCAGGAGCCCGACCAAATTCTCAAACATGATCATTTTTTGTTGTACCTATTTGGGCAAGATTCTAACTCGCGCCAAATCTAGAACAGAATTCCGTCGTAGCCTGAACATGGGGCCCTTTCTGGGCACACCAAATCGTCCCTTTGCGCAGGAGGGCTTCGCAAAAACATGGCTGGGCAGTGCCGCTGCCAGGTGCTGAAATGTCGGGGGCCTGGGAGTTCCAGGCATTGGGTTGAAGATTTTACAGGTAAACCATGGGTAAACCCAAAAACGTACTCAACATGGACAGGTTGCTATCAACTGTAGTTACGGGTATCACCACAGATATGCGTGATGTGGTAGGTGGTTTCAAGCAGATTGCATGTTGGTTTTCGGAGCCCAAGTGCAGTGACCAGCATTTTGTGGATGCAGCTGTTGGACCAACAGCCGGGTCGCATTGCAGCTCCAAAATTTGTTTGATTACCGGAGGGTATTCAACTCAACAACAAACATTGCTAAAAATTCTGTGTGAAGAAAAACGCTTTGAATCATGTCCACATGTGGTGTCATGCCTGGTGCCTTGCGCTGCCGTTGACCTGTTTTCGGCCTAGATGGATTGAAATTTGAAATGATGCGGCAGCTTCAAAGACATCTAGCAGAAATGGGTTCCAGACCTCTACTTGAAGTCCAGCTACTATATAAGATATCCACTTCACCAATCTTCACCATGGTTCACAAACAGAAGCTGATGTTGGACCAATGGTTCAAGCTATCCTTACAACAGATTTTGCCAGCTTTCACCACTATCAGCGCATCATCCACTGCACTTCAGCCATCGGACTGGCCTCTCTGCGCCCAAAGACGGCACCATGCTAGGAGGCCAGCCATACACGGTGGGAAAATGCCATGGTTCCCATGAATTTGGATGGGAACCATCGATCCATTAAATCATAAAAAACACATGCCTGAATTACCCTCCAGTAGCTCCAAGTATGGAAGATCACCATTTTTGTAAATCGAATAAATATAATTGAATATAATCGATAATTGGGCCATGCTCATCCATTTTCCAAAGGAATGTTCGTTTACCAGAGGGTAAATCCATGTAAATTCCACATAATCCCATCATTATATGTCAGCTTATTATGTCAATCCTGGGTTAAGAAACCCCTAGGCCCTAGGCTGTTTAATTGGGAGAGGACCATTGACAGTGGAAGTCCCATTAAATCACCCGTTAATAGCCCGTTTGTGGTATAAACGATTATTAACCCATGATTAACCCATTGTCCTTTCGCATTTGTCATCGGCCTTTTGGGCTCCCAGCGACTTATCAACTGGCGTGGAGTCGGGGAACCCCCATGGCGCACTGGAGATCGACACAGTGCTGGGATGCCGAGTTAGTGGGATCCGATATCACAATCATCATTGGGATTTGGCCATATAAGATCATATAAGTAGATAATCATAGATATATATATATATATAATGATATATAATCATCGAACCGAAGGAAGTTTAGAAGTCAAACTTCCGACAATATGGACAGATGGAAAAGCAGAGGTGGGAAGAGTCAGAGAAGAGAAGAGCAGAAGAGAGAAGATCAGAGCAGAGAAAGTGAGAAGAAAGACGATGCACAGGTGCGCGAAAAGGTAGCAAAGTGGCGCAACACTGTGTTTTTCCAATGTTCTGTGGCTCCAGAGGGGCGAAAAGTAGGCTCGCTAAAGCGGCGGGTGCGGAGCCATGTGGCCAGAAGAGAGATGAAAAATTGCACGCCGTTGTGGGGTGAAGCACGTTTGGAAGCCAAATCGTACAAAACACACCATGCTCGGACCACTTTTGGAAGTTGAGATGTCGAAAATTCATGAAAATTCACGCCGTTGTTGCGCGAAGCACATTTCCAAGTCAAAATGTTAAAAGTCCTACGTGTTGAAACCATTTTTGGACGTTCAGATGTCGTGCCGCATGGCCGGCGCAAGAGATTGTGCACCTTGTCAAAAGTGAGCAAAACGTGAAGGCTTTTTCTAGCATTTCAAAAAAGGATGGCAGGAGTGGGGCGTTTGAAGAGGATCTGGAAAGATGCATTTTCCGTGGCAGGCGCAGTACAAGAGACATGTTCATCAGAGATGTTAGAAGGTCAGGGGGATGATTTCCTGAGAGGGGATGCATTTCGGAGCATCAGATCTTCAGTTTTGGGAAGATGATTTTGTGTCACAGGCGCAGCACTTCGTATGACCTGGCCTCAGTTTTTCGTGGCAGGCGCAATGCTTCAGAGACATGGACTGGAAAAATCGCCAAACTCATTGGTACGAGGCCTTCAGCTCTGCACTCAATGTTCCATTGTCGAAGGAAGTCTCACAGAATTGCTTCGTTTTTAATGTTGCCAACTTCAAAATTGAGGAAGCAGGAAGCCTCGCAGAATGGCTTCCTTTTTGACGTTATCAAGTTCCAAAGCTCAGGAAGTCTTGCAGAATTGCTTCGTTTTCAAGTTTGCAGATTGCAGATAGACAGATAGATAGATAGATCGATCGATAGATATAGATAGACAAATAGATAGATAGATAGATAGACAACTACAACCACAACTCCAACTACCACTGCGCTACGCTACACTCCACTACTACAACTACAAATAAGCTACACTACATTACGCAACACTACGCTACATTACACAACACTACGTTACATTACTTACACTACACCACACTACACTACACTAATTACAGTACACCACGCTAATTACACTACAGCAACAGCTACAACTACCACTTCCACTACCACTACCACTACTACCCCTACTACTACTACTACTACTACTACTACCACTACTACCACTACTACCACTACTACCACTACTACCACTACTACTGCTACTACTGCTACTACTACTACTACTACTCCTCCTCCTCCTCCTGCTGCTGCTGCTGCTGCTGCGGCTGCTCCTACTACTACTACTACTACCACTACTACCACTACTACCACTACTACCACTACTACCACTACTACTGCTACTACTGCTACTACTACTACTACTACTACTAGTACTAGTACTACTACTGCTGCTGCTGCTGCTGCTACTGCTACTACTACTACTGCTACTCCTACTACTACTACTACTACTGCTACTGCTTCTCCTGCTACTACTGCTACTACTCCTGCTACTACTACTACTACTGCTACTACTACTACTACTATTGCTGCTACTACTACTACTACTGCTACTACTACTACTACTACTACTATTGCTACTACTACTACTACTGCTACTGCTACTACTACTACTACTAAGACTACTACTACTACTCTTCCTACTCCTACTCCTACTCCTACTCCTACTGCTACTACAGCTACAACTACACTACACCAATTACACCACACTAATTACACTACACTACGCTTCGCTACACCACACCTCACCACACTACACCAACTACAACTACGACTACAGCTACCACTACACTACTTGACACTACACTACACTAGACTCCACTATATACACTATACCACACTACAGTGTACAACACTACACTACACTACACTACACTACATTACACTACCTCAATTACACAACGCCACAACTACAATTGCAACTGCAACTATACCTTCACTACACCACACTTTAACTACAACTCCACCACGCTACAACTACAACTACAAGTGCGCTATGCCACACTTCATCCAGGAGTTGTGGGTGAGGTGACCACTGCAACCACCGCAGCCACCCCAAAAAACACAACTCCAACCACCTTCGGTCCATCAGTGGATTCGGCCTGCCATCAATGCATCACAACAACTCACTTCTCCTATAAGTTTCCTATTTTTGAAACTTCCGCCACCGCCTTGCGCGGCACTACCGGTATTCATATTTATACATGTATATATATATATATCATATACTGTACAACTATTTATGTGTATATATTTTTAATATACACATTTATTTGACCCATCAACAACCGCTGGCGGTTGGGCAGAAGAATGGGCGCTAAGATTCGGGTGCAGAAATCATGTCATTGTCGAAAATTAGGGCCTATGGACCCCAATAATTAACCAGTTTTTCCTTCATCCTTGTTGGGGAACCTTTGCCGCAATGCCATCCGCTGGTTTGCATCGCTTGGGTTCGCTCCATTGGGATTGAAGGGAACCAAGGAGCTGGAAATGTATTAAGTGATGAAGTAGTTATCATGAACTAGGGAACCAGAAAACAAAAAACCTGGGGAAAACAGTTGGTGATTCAATGAGATATCATGATATCCCCAAATGGATCAACATCTCATTGAAATGGCATTCATCCTGATATATAGTGAATATATATAGAACTTATTTACTGTAAATATATACCCTCTGGTTATGACTCACATAGCCATGGAAAGATCCACCATTTTTAATAGGTAAACCATCTATTTCTATGGGCCATCTATACCATGGCTATGTTAAATAATCGGATGGTATATAAATATATATATATTTATATTTATATAAATATTTATATATATATAAATAAATATAAATAAATAAATATGTATATTTATATATCCCATGACATCAGATCGGCATTGGATAAATGTGTCGCTGAGGTTCCCATTGCGGCCACGACCTCAGCTGGTGTTTTGTGCCCTTCGGAGCAGCAAAGCATCTTTGATAAACGTACAACATGCTTGGGTTTCAAATGGCATCAAACATGCAGGATATGATGTGGTTATACGATGTTATACGTAGAATGTTCTATATCTGCATCAATATCTCATCTAATTTTCGATATTTTTCGATATTTTCGGCTGGCTATTTCAAGTACCCTCTGGTAAACTAACATAACTATGGAAAATCACCATTTTTAATGGGGAAAACTCACTATAAATGGCAATTTTCAATAGCTATGTTAAATTACCAGAGGGTACTTATCATTACCTGTTAGTTTTTTTTGCCCGATTATCAGAGAACTTGAGGCAATGAATTCAGAAACCATTGCAAGGCCGCACGAGGCAACTCAGAGCGGAGGAATGGAAAAAAAAATATATATATACTTTTATTTCTATCTATCCATATGTTGTTGGTTGCCTGAACTATTGACCAACACATACTAGCATCCAGGTTCTGGAATGTACAGTGTTCTGAGTTATTACCTTGCATTTGTTGCTTCATAGGAAACGCACACACACAGATGGACGCAGCGGATTTACATGGGCATGGGTCAAATTGCTTCACAAGACCTACCCCATGAAGTTGCATTTTCCACATCTTCTGTTTTGGTTTTGTTGCTCCAACCATTTTCAGCCACATCACATGCAATTCCAAGGGAACGTCTACCTTGCTGATTCGGACTTCTGTAGGCCGGACCAAGTGGAAGGTGGTAAGATATTCATGGATCAACTCCACCTTTTGGACCTTGGACATTTCTGGATCTCTTGTGTTTAGACACTGTTTAGACATGATAAGATCGGGGGAGGCGTTGTTACCAGGTTGAACCTCAAAGGGTTTGCATGTTTGCTGAGTTTGCTGAAATTCCACATGTGTCTTGCTTCAGTCACGATTTGGGAGTTTGTTTCATGGCCTGGCCATGCCCCCTATACCTTCCCATCCTTCCCAGGCACTGCGGCCAGAAGCGAGAGGATGTGGACGCTTTCCGTCAATATTGTTCCGAAGTCATCTCCGGTGTCTCTGACGCTTGGCCAGAAAAGTGCAGAATTGGTATGAATTGGTGCATCAGAAAGTGCACGTGAGCACGTGTAAAGCATTAGCTCTTAAATGCCATTTTGAATGGAACCCTTCATCAGCATTGCATCATCAATGTTCAACGCTGTGCGCAGGATGGATTTGGATCCTCCATATCTGGCGATGAGCTGTCTCTGTTTTGGGAGACTGCTAAATCACATTCCCAGTTT